ATTTATTTATCCGACGAAAAAATAATAGAAACCAAATTTATTAAGGTCTTTGGCTCTCTAAACAAGCGACATTTTAAACAAACATTTAATTTGGTATTTTTTATTGTTAAATTTGTATATTCAATAATTAGCTTTAATAGGTATTTAGGTAATAAAAATAATCAAGAAAAATTGCATTGAATAAATAAATACATATAAATTAGTTATACATATGTAGGTACAATAGGTATAAATTTATAGGGCAATTTGTAAAAAAAAATGGACCGCTACACTCCCCCTCAACAATTTATTTAGTTTAAATTTGCATATTATTTAAATAACAACAATAATTTATTAACAAATTAAAGGGAAATTTTCCAACTGAACTTACCCAAACCTAATGGTAGCAGATGTTTATTACTTCTAGCCAAAAAACCAAAACAGGTGGCACACAATTTCGTTAAACCCAGTGTAAAGAAAGCATTCAAATGTGTACCATACTCATGTTCATCCTGATGATAATCTATGGCCGTTATCACTAAAGTACGAGCTAAACCCAATAACAACATACAGCCCACAGTAAACACAAGTTTACGTAAATCGGAAACTTTACGAGGTCTTGAAGTAACCAAACCCATGGAGAAAACAAATAAACCAATACCAACATCCATTAGACCAACACCATAACGTCTGGACTTACGAAATGTCTTGGGAAAACTTTTGAAATCAATAGCTAGTATACAGAGAGCTGTTAGAAAATTGATGGTAGAACGCATGAGTGTAAAGAGTATTGGTCTGCGACCAAATTCAAAATCTCTTTTTGCCGCCAACTGCCAACATTTTGTGCGCCACATTATAAAAAGTAATAGCACAAAAGAAAATCCTACTATATATTCGACATAATTATTAGCCACATTCACACTAACAATAACGGGCAACGAGATCAGGATAAATTCTAAAATATAACGTAACCAAATTTTGAATTTTTCACTTTTTCCATCATTAACACGAACACGAATAAATGCACGGGCTAAAGCTATGGCTATTAAGGTCACTATAATTGTACATTGTATGTGCCAAACACGATAGAAGCTTTTCACTGAATGTTTATCATAAGTCTCCATAGCGTCGAGCGTTCCCCGTATTGAACACTTTGGCAAGTTTACGAATTGCGAACGTTGATCAACCGAAGAGCATGTTAATAGTTGTGCGACCAACGATAGACTTTGATTGTTTAATGGTGTGGCATTACAATAGTACACTTTATTGTGCACTACTCCACTGATACTAATATTTTTATCGACGTCGTAGTTGTCGTCATTGTGACAATGTTCCTTAATACAATTTGATAGAATATTGTTGGCATTCATGATTAGATTTTGTTTATACACATATAAAAAGAAATTAAATTGTATTTTTTGTTTTAGTTCCACTAGAATTCAGTACTTGAGGGCTGTTGCGTGTTGAAAATAGGAAGTTATCTAATTATAGTTAAATGCTTTAGTTCGATATTGGCATTGATTTGCTATTAAAAATTGTTATTGTTTATTATTAAGCTGTGATAAGTAATTGTTATCTATTGCTAAAAAAAATAATTTAAAAACACTTTATTAAGATTTTGGAATAAGAATCCAATTTGTTGTTGTTGTAATTTAGAAAATAGTAAACAATAACAGCTGTTTTTACAGAATGTGTTTAGTAAGCACAGTGTTATAGAGAAAGTGTTGCCAATACATACTAAACTATTTTATTCCAGAGATGGCAACTTAATTTATTTTCGAAACTATTATATATCATGATACAAATTACTTTATGATATGTTTCCACTGAGGTGTTTTGAGCAGATCTAGTGGATTTAGGCAAAACTAGTTGAAATCATGTTGATTTGCAATACAGTTTTGACAAATCCAAATCTACTTAAACTACCAGATTTGATATAAAACATGTCGAAAATGTATTTTTTCGAACAAGATTTGCTTAAGCCCCCTTCACACGAGCACACAAGTAATATGATCTGTCAAAATTTTGCGTAGAAGAGAACGGATGGGATCGTCTATACGCAATATGTAACGAAATCATCACACATTGAGAGAAAATACGGATGGAAAATTTGACAGTCGTATGGCTCTCTTCACTTTTTTAAATGTTTCAAAAAACAAGAAAGTCGAATTATATCAGGTATTTTTATGTAAACACATACAAAAAAAGTGAAACAGCTGTTTCTATCATACTTTGTTATTGTTTTATACCAATCGTGTAAACACAAAAAATATAAATCATACGACTTTTATTCTCTTTTTTGTCATACGGATGGAATTTAATTTTACTTTTTCATTAGACATGTCGTAAGTAAAGTGTGATCGTCTGAAGTAGGATTCTATAAATCGACTTTCGAATAATCGACTTTTTGTCGAAAAAAGTCGAAAAGTCGATGTCGACTCTTTTGATCCAAAAAAGTCGATAACTCGACTATCGTCTATGAAAAAAGTCGAAAAGTCGACTTTGTAAATAAAAGTCGAAAAAAGTCGAAAAGTCAAAAAATCGGAAAGTCGAAAAAAGTCGATAAGTCGAAAAAAGTCGAAGAAAGTTGAAAAAAGTCCAAAAGTCGAAAAAAGTCGAAAAGTCGAAAAAAGTCGAAAAGTCGAAAAGAGACGAAAATTTTAAAAAAGTGTAAAAGAGGTCAAAAACTCTAAAATAGTCGGAAAAACTCGAAAAAAGTAAAAAATAGTCGAAAATAGTCGAAAAAAAGTCGAAATAAATCGAAAATAGTCAAAAAGTCGTAAAAAATCAAAAAGTCGAAAAGTCGGAAAAAGTCGAAAAGTCAGAAAAAGTCGAAAAAAGTCGAAAAGTCGAAAAAAGTCGGAAAAAGTCGAAAAGTCGACCATTTATAAAATACTAAAAGTCGAGAAGTCTAAAAGTCGACTTTTAAATAAATGAAAAAGGTCGAAAAGTCGAAAAAATCGACTTTTCATAAAATGGAAAAAGTCGAAAGGTCGAAAAGTCGACTTTTAACTAAATGCAAAAAGTCGAAAAGTCGACTTTTCGTTTCAACTATAGAACCCTAGTCTGAAGGGCCCTTTATACAACACTGCGTTGTGTCTAGGATAAGCAAATATTACTATAGGCTATCCATTCAAGTTGAATGTTTTCATCGAAAAAAAAATGACTTCATTTCGAAATAAAAACAAAACAAATTATAATTTTAAAATTAATGGCATTTAATAAACAAATTTATACTTTTACAACTGTAATTTTGTATCTTTAATGTTCAAATTTCAAGGAAATTAACATTACTGTCGTTATATCAAAATAAAATGACGGGATTTGTTCAAAAATTCGAATATCAAAAACGAGTAAGCTCAGTGGAAACACCTTGAAGAGTTTTAAGCAAATCTAGTAGATTTCAAGCCAGTGGAGACATAGTATTAATAAAATTTTTTAAATATATATATTTTTTTTAATTTTTAAAATTTTTTTTCCATCCCTGCATAATTTCATACACAACTTTTGTGCTTGCTCTATTTTGTTGTTATAAATTATATACAAAATTCTACTTTTTTTTTCTCGGATTACGTTTTTATTTAAAATTTGAATATTTGAGAACTAGGATTCTATAGTTGAAACGAAAACTTACTTACGAAAACTGACTTATTTCCACTTTTTTAAAATTTTCGACTATTTTTGACTTTTTTCTACTATTTTCGAGTTTTCGACTTTCGACATATCGACCTTTTTCGGCTTTTTTCGAAAGTCGATTTATAGAACTCTATTGAAAACTTTGCCGGCTTGCAGGCGATTTTAAGCCGCCGACTATATTTTTAGCGTTACAGCCGTTAATATTTGTCGGCACAGGTATCTGTGTGTGACGCGCATTTTTTTGCGGCTTGGTTTATGAAAAAAATTTATTTCTATTTGTGGAAAAAAAGAGTATAAAATATATATTTTCAATAAAAATCACATTACAAACAATATATAAAATCCTAACAGGGTAAGTACATAAAAATACATTAAGTAACTACAATTCATCCTTGTGTTTAGCCTCTTTATCTTTTTGATAATTCACAAACTCTTCATGATTGCTCACATGCTGAGCAGCCTTCTGCACTAAACGTGAAAATTCCTTTACATCAAAAGCGTAATTTGTAAATTTAGCATGGGCTCCACCTTCAGGATGATGTCCTTCATCTTCGGGATATACTAAATCACGATGCTCCCAAGTGATGTAGTTAACACCTCGTAAACGAGCCAAATCTTTGTAACAATTGGGATCTTCACAATTGTACAGCTCAAAAATTGTTGCCCAATTGGGCAGGAATAGAAGATGTGTTAATCCTGCTCCATGCATTCCAATTAAAATATCGGTATTCCTTGTAACTTCTAGCTGTTGCAAGAATGATAGGTCTCTGCAATAAAGAAGTAAATTTTAGGTTAATTAGTCTAACGGTTTTTATTATTAACACAAGTATAACATGTGGAAAATTTTCGCTGGAAATAAAAAATGGTGTTGGAAAATTGAATGTTTTTTCCAGCATTGATTAGTTTACAATAACTGCTAATTTGATATTTGTTTTATATCTACGACGTGTAGATTTAAAAAATCAATAGACAAGAATCCTTAGTCAATAGCAGGCATTATTAATTCGTGAACCTATCAGTAGTATTGTATTAAACAAAATATGTATTATTTTATTATAGAAAATAGCTTAGTCTAGTGTATTAATCGATAAAATATTCATAAAATTAATAGTCCGTAGCATATTTATTATACTAGAGCAAAAAAAATCATTAGTCTGGTCCAAATTTGATAGTACATTGTGTCAGAAGTACATTTATGGATCATTATTTTAATAAATAGACTCTGAAAGAATCACTTTCATGTCCGTCCGGCTGGCTGACTGTCCATGTAAACCTTGTGCGCAAGGTACAGGTCGCAATTTTCAAGATATGATGAAATTTGGACCATACTTGTTTTCCAACGACGAAGCTTATTGAAAATGGTTGAAATCGGTAAATTATTTTACCTAGTCCCCATACAAGCCTACCCCCCGAAAAGGTCTTTTGAGTTCATAATTATGTTAAAAATTGTGGTATCTCTAAAAAAAAATTGGCAAAACTTAGTTTTATATACGTCTTAATAATACTACCGATATTCGTAATTATCGGACTTTATTTGACCCAAGCCCCCATACAAAGTCCCCTTCAGAAAATTACTTGAAGGTCAATAATTCACTAATAAACACTAATATCATGTACAAAAATGTACAAAGATAGGCCCATATTTACCCTTGCCCCCATATAACCCCTTTTTTAGAAAATCACTTTTTTCAAGAAATTGTTAAAATTTGTCGGAATTAAGGTAAACAACTTTATATGAGTTTCTTATAAAATCTACATTTCTGGCTACTAAATTTAGGAGATGGACACACCACAGCTCCTGCCCTTGCTTTTCCTATAGGCAAAAATAGTGAGTCAAATAATAACACTTGTTTAAACAAAGATAACGCATTAAAAAATGTTAAAGATCGGGACTTTTTCAACGTACACTATATGTGAGATGGATATTGCCGATTTGAAATTTTAAAAAATTGTAAAAAAGTTATAACCTTAAGGTATATACGAAACTATAGTATGATCATTATTCCTTACCCTATAATAATAATATAATTTTAACTTTTCAATCAACCATTTAGATTCTAGTTTCCAGTTTAATTTAGAAAAACTGTTACTTTTTCATTTCAGATATATTGTGAAATATATTGTATTCTGGATGTTCAAAGGGGACAAACACTATAAGCTATAAATCTTCTAACCAGAACGTGCTTTTTGTATTACAAATTTATATTTTATAGAAATATTGGTAAGTTTTATATTATAACTTTTTCTGACACTTTTATTGCAACGAATTTAAACTTTGAAACGTATAACGTAAAATATTACACATTTTCCCTAAAACAAACCTATTCAGACAATCAATGATAGTAGCAACACATTTAAAAGATTTTCTTACATGCTACTATACCTTCATACATATACATATTAAAAGATCAGTATTTTCCTATTTTTATTGTAAATACACTACTCAAATATTAATTTTTCTATTCATAAATTCATATAAAAGATTCTCTTCTAAAATATAAAGTTAAAATATACACAACTGTATAATGTTAAAGCTATAAAAATATCTATACATCTTATAAAATTGATTAACTCATATCATGATTATTTAAATAAGAAAAGGTATATAACAAGTTTTTCTTCTTTGGGAAAAAAAGTTCAATTCAAATGTAAATTTATTTACGAAAGTAATTTGTAAATTTATTCATTCAGTATTGTTCTTTACTAATACTGATAACTTCGAAGATATTCGTCAGAACTACAAAAAATGTTTACTTAGATACTAGAATTTTTTTAAATAAAATTTAACACAAACTTTTAGCACCTTGAAATATTTTGCTAAAGTTGCAATTTATTTTTAACTTCTATATATGCACTTATCGTCTATAAACAATTAATATAAAAAAAAATAACTTACCTTTCATACGATATTTTATTAACAATGAAATTTTCATTTTTAATTATTTCTTCCAGCAATTTATCCTCATTTAAAACTCGCCTATATTTTGTGCGTCGTGAAAGAAAAGTTATTCTGATTTTCTGCTTTTGAGGAGGTTCGAAAGGTATTCGCAAGCGATGTAATACAAACTCGGAAAAGGCTCTAAACATACCACTACTATGGCAGCCTTGTATCTATAAATTTTAAGTAAAAAGATATAAAAAGAAAAAATCTGTTATTAAATTTTAAATGAATTACTTTAAAAAATAAATATGAATTACTTTAAAATAAACTTACGATTGGTGTGTTATAGTATAAACCAAAAATCATACGGGGCAGCAAAGGCAAGACAACATTTCTGAAGCAAATGCGTTTACCTTTAACTTGATCTAGTGTCCAGACTGGGTTATGAGAAAAAGCTTTGAAAGTAGCGGCAAATGGTGAATCATACGGGTAAGTTTCCCATACAATTATTTGAGTATTTGTATCGAATGTTGTGTAGTGAGTTTGATTAACGAATAGTGTAGCATAGAGATTGAAAAAATCACAAAAATGGTGATACATATTATACGTAGCATCGATTTTCATTAAAAATGTGGGCGTATTTATGAACATATCACATTCGTCGCTCTGTTCATCGAAATTATTTGTAGCTTGTTCAAAGTTTCTTAATTCAGGCGACCAAGATTGCAGGGCACCCATGTGATCCATTTCATTTTTAAGTCTTGTTTCATTTAGTTTGCAGTAGCCCTTTATTTGTCCCGGTCCCAGTACATCCATATGATAACGTATACGTTCATTTCTTTGTGCTAAATCTCGAAAATCTAACATCAAATATCTACCACGACAAAATCTTAAATATTTGGTACATTCTAAAGAAGAATCCGTTATAAGTTTGGGCTCACACATTAGCATTAATTCTTCGATTTGATGTTGTACATAACCAAAGTCAGCCTGTTGATAGAAAGTATCCAATTGTGCCTCTTTATTTCTTACCCATCCTGTATGTTGTCCAGGACAGGAAGGTGTTTGGAAACGATTTTTCTTTTTACATCCCGGTTCAAAGCCCCAACAAACTTCATTATCTGCAGAGGAAATCTCTTTCAACAAATCACGATTACAGTCTTTATTTTGTTCACACTGTTGCTTTACTTTGGCGAATGTATTTAAGTAACGCTTTAAATGTTCTAGAGGTAAATCAGGTAAAATGTTTTGTTTGGTTTCACATCCGCAATTGTGAACACATAAAACTAAAAACATAAACCAAGTAGGTATGAGTATTAAAAATTTCTCCATTGTTTATGGCGTTGAATACTTTTCAATAAACTAGTTCAAAATTTCTTTCCATTTCCATATGAGGTCAGAAGAACATATACGTTCCACTTTATTTAGAATTTTATATAAAAGTTTATTAAAGTTTAAAAAAAATCGTTAATAACGATGGCCTTGAAATCCGTGTTGCAAGGTATAACACGTTTTCTGTGCACTATTGCTATACGTGATGACCTCACACTTGAATCCAAAAGATAATCTTCAATATTTTTCGGTTGATGTGTTGCTTGAGTATTTAGTTGGTGTATAAATTTATCTTATTTTATAAATGTTTAATGAAATTCGTTTGTTTGTTTACTGCCTCCACACAATTATGAGTTAGTTATTCATATACCGGCTTTTAGTTATTTAGTTTTTATTTTATAATTATGTATTCACTACTTTTTCTTCTTTTCTTTATCATATCAATCAAATCTTCGAGTTGTTCTTTTAACGTTCGCTATGATGCGCTTAACTTCACCAACTGAGCGAGTGACTGATTTGCTGATGTATATACCTTCGAAGGTATAAAATAAATCTGGTTTCGCATTCGCTTGCCTTTTGTTTCTTTTGTTAAGTAGTAATACGTACATACGTATATTTGTACAGAGTAGTTTGTATGTATAGTACATAAGCTTTATCATTTTATTATGTCTGCTGCTTGCTCACAAGTAACATTTGGCATTTGTTTAGTTTAATGGTTGCTTATGCTACCGATAATTCAGTTTAGGTACATATAGATATGTGTGCTTTGTATCTAAATATTTGTTGGATAAAGTGAGTAAATATATTGTTTGTGTGCTGTTTATGACCATTCACTTTTTTGTTTATTAAAGAGAGTCGGAGTTTTTGTGAAATGTGCTCTCTCACTCTCTCTATTTCCCAGTAGGTCGGTTTTATTTAGAAGAGGCCAAATTTAATTTGTTTGTTTACCTAGAACAGGTGGTGATGTTTGTATACAAATGCTAAAAACACATGTTAGTTGTGTCAAATAAACTCTTTGTTATTTTAGTTCTTAAAAATGTAAACACGTAGTATTAGATATAAGATGATTCAAATATTAAAAACGAGTACACAAATCTAGTCGAAAGTAAATCGATTTTAATTTTATTAAAATAAATTAAAAATTTATTTTTTGCGTTTTTTAATATAACTGTAACTCAAGTTCAAATAAAAATTCCATTTGCAGAACACCAAATTCCGTGTTAAAAGCTTTCTCGATTTTGAAACCGAATCGATTTACATAACAGACACGATTATTGGTTATATATATATTGACTGATCGATGTAATAGATAGTATATCCATCAGTTAATCGATAGCTGTATGTAGTTTTAAGATTTTCCATTCATTAGCCGCAATTGCAATATTGGGATTATAACTGATAAGGTTTCGGATCTAGAGCAATAATCAGTTTTCTATGAAAATACGAAATATCATTGTCCAATGGAAAAATTTTTGAAATCGACACTCGTTCTAAGAAATAGTTCTTTAATAAAGTTTTCTTGGAATTTCTCACCCTCAGAACTAGAATTAGATAAGCTTTGAGTAGACATATACACCTTTAGAATAGTTCTGGAACTAGTTATTTTCTCAGTTCATAGTCAGGGCAATTATGAACAATATTTCCCCGGGAGTTTATTAGGAATAGGACCGAGTAATTTAATTGATTTAATATTTTAAAATTTGTTTAATCAGACCTATTCTGCATTTCGATTACGTTTTCGTATTCAATTACGCTATGATCGAAAATTGGTATTCCAACAAAAAGCGGAATCGTAATAGAAAGAAGAAACAATTCCATTTAATTTCAATGCTTTACGATTGTGTGTATTCTGCATTACGATCGTAACTACATTTTTCTTACTGTCGGTCCACACTAGGAAACTATTTTTGGGAAACTTTTGATTTTGCGTGAGAGAAAAAGATATAGAAATATCATTCATCTATCTCGCGGTACAGAGTTTCTCGTACTCGGAAACTCGCTGTGTTTTGTTATTCTTTGTTTCTGAAACAAAAGTTTCTATGTGTAGACATTAAGGAAACTTTTAAAAGAGAATTAAGAAAAATTTTCTCAACTAAAGTTTCCATGTGTGGACCGGCACTTCGTTGTTATTTTAGGGACGGAGCTTCGAATCGATATGCAGAATAGCAATGTTGCCAAACGAAGAAAATTTCGGTTCCAATTGAACTGTAGAATATAGGTGAATGGTTTTTGTTCGAATCTCTCATCGTTGGAGCTAGTTGTAGAGAAGCTTAGAGAACTTATATATCTTCTTTAGATCAGTTATGGAACTAGTTCAGTTTATAATTTTTAAATTGATATAATTTTTTGAAAAAACTGGTACCTTGGAAACTTCTAAGAAGTCCTTAGTTTCTGGCCTGCAACTCACGTGGGTCATATTATTACATGTTATTGGTAGATTTTCTGCATTGTATTCCTACAAAAACGGAATCGTAAGGACAGGATGAATCAATTCCAAATAGTTCCAAAGCTTTACGTTGCTCATATTATAATGATGCGGCGCGGAATCGAAATGAGGAATATCAATGTTGCCAAATAATGAAAATTTCGATTCGAATTGGAATTACGACATACTACGATACAACCGTACAACATGATTGTTAATACTATACCATAATTTAGAGCAATTTAGAATATTTAGAACAAAATTGAAGGATGTAATTTTTATTTCTTCGGATTTGATGTAACATATATTCATTCCTCTTTCAGAAACAAATTATTTTAAATTCACGAATTTCAACTATTTCGAGTGGAATGGAAAAACAAAGTAATTCTAAAAGTTTGAAAAATTCTGAAATATCTAAAAATATTAAAAACTTGGGTTCAAAATTGAAAAATATTTTTTTTAACATAAAAATTAAAATAAAGAACTTTTTTTGTCATAAACACCCTGTTAACGTAGCAATTTTGTCACGATATACCGTTAAATTCATACAGTTGCTATCAGCTGTTTGTCAAATAAACGTCATATTTGACTTTTACAACTGCTATCCAAGGGTATTTATATTACAGGAAAACTTTTTTATATACCAATGCAAAAAATTTATAATTCTATATAAAATATTTACAATATTTTACATTTTATACCATGAGAGATCCACCCAAAAAGTAAGTAAATCATAAAGGGTTTTTTTTTATTGAATTATTACTTTCCCAAATATGAAAATAAACTATTAAACATATATTTCCATATTGCGCAGTTTGGGTATTACTGTAACTACTCCTGGTAGTACTGTTACCTCAGGAGCACCATCTACCTCAGGAAGGCAAAACAGTTTGGAAGATATCAATCTGGATCAATTTTTGAAAACATCGAATTATGAGGATACGGTTAAGCAATTGGATATATATTATGGCATTGGTAAGTGTGGCATTAGCAATCAATAAATATATAAATAATTTATTAACAATTAATGTAAAATACTTTTATTTTTATATGTATATAAATTATATAACCTTGCCACATATTGTGTTTTTTAGTTGAGAATGTTTTCTTCATATTCACAAACACATTTAATTGTCATACATTAAATTGGTTCTTTCTTGATTCATTAAAAAAGATCTATTTTTAAAAATTGTATCTATGCTGCACACATTTCTCATGCTATTTGACTCTTTTCCCCACTTTATCTGTATTTGTGAAAAAAAAAACAATTTGTTGATGTAAACAAAAAATAAATGACACTTTAGTATTTGTTGTTTTTTTTTAGTTTTTGTTTATAAACAAACTTATTAATACGGTTTGTTTATATGTTATTGTTTTTACTAATTTCGTATGCAAATCAAGTTCTTTACATATAATGCGAATAAATTGAATAAAGATTTAATAATTTTTTAATTTATAATCTTTTATTTATTAAAAAATAATTAATATTTTATAGGTTTTGAAATTGATAGAGATTTTAAACTAATAATACATTTTTTTCCAGTTAAACGACAATTGCTACGTTTTCAAAGTCCCATAACTGGATTATTTCCTGTAATGAGTACTGATCATGAAATTGGTTCCGTCCGTGATAGTGTCTATTGTGCTGCAGCCGTATGGAGTTTATATCAAGCCTATCGACGTATCGATGATGATCGTGGCAAATCATATGAATTGGGTCAATCTACTGTTAAATGCATGCGTGGTATATTAGAATGTTGGATTAAACAAGCGCCACGGGTTGAGCTATTCAAACAGAGACAATCTAATCAGCATGCTTTACATAGTAAATTTCATTTGCATACCGGTGAAGAGATCTATTCCGATGATTTTTATAATCATTTACAAATAGATGTTGTTTCACTTTATATAATATTTTTAGTGCAAATGATAACTTCAGGTTTACAAATTATTTATACACAGGTGAGAGAGATAAAGCATTGTTTTCATATTTTTAAATTAAACAATTTTTCTTTAAATTTCGTTTTAAGGATGAAGTGGCTTTTGTGCAAAATTTAGTTTACTATGTCGAAAGAGCTTATCGTACACCGGATTTTGGTATGTGGGAACGTGGCTCTAAATATAACAATGGTACTCCCGAAATACATGCCTCTTCAATTGGTAAGCATTTCGAAATAACAATATTAATTATTATAACATATCATTTCTTCTCTTTTTGCTTTAAGGCATGGCCAAATCGGCTTTGGAAGCTATTAACGGTTGTAATTTGTTTGGTGAAAAAGGCGCTTCTTGGAGTGTTGTCTATGTTGATATTGATGCTCACAATCGTAATCGTAGTATTTTCGAAACTATGCTTCCCAGAGAGTCCAGTTCAAAGGTAAAATATTATAAAAATAAATTATAAAAATAAGCCAATATTAAGTTACTTCATATTGTTATTTTTTATTATAGGGTGTTGATGCTTCTCTATTACTTACCTTGTCCTTCCCAGCGTTTGCTTCTCACGAAGACAGTTTAGTGGAACAAACCAAACATAATGTTATAAGTCGTTTGCGTGGCAGAAGAGGTTTCAAACGCTTTAGTCGTGATGGATTTTTGAGTAAAGTGGAAGATAAAAGTAGAAGGTAAGTTTAAATGTTTATTCGGTTCTAGTTTAGTTCTAGTTCTAGTTCAGTTCTAGTTCAGTTCTAGTCATGTTCTAGTTCAATTCTAGTTCAGTTCTAGTTCAGTTCTAGTTCAGTTCTAGTTTAGTTCTAGTTCAGTTCTAGTTCAGTTCTAGTTCAGTTCTAGTTCAGTTCTAGTTCAGTTCTAGTTCAGTCTAGTTCAGTTCTAGTTCAGTTCTAGTTCAGTTCTAGTTCAGTTCTAGTTCAGTTCTAGTTCAGTTCTAGTTCAGTTCTAGTTCAGTTTAGTTCAGTTCTAGTTCAGTTCTAGTTCAGTTCTAGTTCAGTTCTAGTTCAGTTTTAGTTCAGTTCTAGTTCAGTTCTAGTTCAGTTCTAGTTCAGTTCTAGTTCAGTTCTAGTTCAGTTCTAGTTCAGTTCTAGTTCAGTTCTAGTTCAGTTCTAGTTCAGTTCTAGTTCAGTTCTAGTTCAGTTCTAGTTCAGTTCTAGTTCAGTTCTAGTTCAGTTCTAGTTCAGTTCTATTTCATTTCTAATTCAGTTCTAGTTCAGTTCTAGTTCAGTTCTAGTTCAGTTCTAGTTCAGTTCTAGTTCAGTTCTAGTTCAGTTCTAGTTCAGTTCTAGTTCAGTTCTAGTTCAGTTCTAGTTCAGTTCTAGTTCAGTTCTAGTTCAGTTCTAGTTCAGTTCTAGTTCAGTTCTAGTTCAGTTCTAGTTCAGTTCTAGTTCAGTTCTAGTTCAGTTCTAGTTCAGTTCTAGTTCAGTTCTAGTTCAGTTCTAGTTGAGTTCTAGTTCAGTTCTAGTTCAGTTCTAGTTCAGTTCTAGTTCAGTTCTAGTTCAGTTCTAGTTCTAGTTCAGTTCTAGTTCAGTTCTAGTTCTAGTTCAGTTCTAGTTCAGTTCTAGTTCTAGTTCAGTTCTAGTTCAGTTCTAGTTCAGTTCTAGTTCAGTTCTAGTTCAGTTCTAGTTCAGTTCTAGTTCAGTTCTAGTTCAGTTCTAGTTCAGTTCTAGTTCAGTTCTAGTTCAGTCCTAGTTCAGTTCTAGTTCAGTTCTAGTTAAGTTCTAGTTCAGTTCTAGTTCAGTTCTAGTTCAGTTCTAGTTCAGTTCTAGTTCAGTTCTAGTTCAGTTCTAGTTCAGTTCTAGTTCAGTTCTAGTTCATTTCTAGTTCATTTCTAGTTCATTTCTAATTCAGTTCTAGTTCAGTTCTAGTTCAGTTCTAGTTCAGTTCTAGTTCAGTTCTAGTTCAGTTCTAGTTCAGTACTAGTTCTAGTTCAGTTCTAGTTCAATTCTAGTTCAAGTTCAGTTCTCGATTTACTTCAATTCAATTTTTTTGTTAAAACTTTGTAAAACTGAAATGTACTTGTTATTATTAAACACAGATATTATCACACTGGCGAATTAAAAGAATTTGAGGGTATTGAATGTGAATGGCCACTGTTTTTCATTGAAATGATAATTGATGGTGTCTTTAAGAATAACAATGATCAAATTGAGGAATATCAAAATGAACTGCGTAAATGTATGTATGCCGACACTTATGGCGATCCAGTTGTCACTATGTATTATGCACCAGATGGTGAGGGTTCTTATTTAAAAGCACCCACCCAAACCCTATTCCTATGGGGTCAATCTATGTTTATAATAGCCCAACTTTTGACAGCTGGCCTATTGCATATAAATGAATTAGATCCAATACGTCGTTATTTGCCTAGTTATAACAGACCCAGACGAGCCGGTCGTTATTCAGCTTTTCAGGTATGTAATTATATAAACTATTCCCTAATTTACACGATAATATTTTGCAGTTGTAGGTCTTCTTATGTTTTTGGTTTTTATAATTTAATAAATAGTTTTATCATCCTCTAGTTTTGTTTAAATAATTGGCTTAATTCTGAATATCTATATACAAAATCCTAAACATATAATAAAATAAGTTTTTGTCAAATTTCTTTCTCTGTATATTTTATTTACCCTGCTACGTTTGCTACACTAAATCGTCTACTACCTTGTTGTCCTTATCCTCGTAATTATGTTTTTTTATCAAATAACAAATAAAACAAAATTATATATATATATAATTAAAATTGGTATTACAAAATTAAACTAAAAACACCTAATACAATTCAAAAATAATCCAGGGAAAAGCCTTCGATGAAAAACACAACGTAAGTGCTTTTAACGTATTCTTTTACAAAAAAAAAAAATTGAGTTTGTTTTTTTTTTTAAGAAATGTATAAAATGTTATAAACGTGCTCTATACATACACATACATAAATATTTATCAAAATTTTGTAGATCACATAGTTAAATTATGTTTGGCTTGTAAAAACACCATTATAGCACCAAGTAGTTGAACTTTAGTAGTAAATAAAATGTATATTTCAAACGTAAATATCAAACATTTTTTTTATAACTTATTTTAAACACATATTTTCCAAATTTATTTTTATTTTTTTTTACTAACATTCTTTTTTTTCTAAATGTTTTTAACTTACAAATTTGTGTATCCTTTTGTTAGCAGCCTTTTTTTTGTCTTATTTTTGAACTTTTTTCTTTAATATTGTATTTTTTTATATATTTTTCTATTATTAGGCTAAACCTGGCACTGTAAGTAATTATTACTTTTGGGTTTTACTAAATTTTTCTGCCTTTTTTAATTTATTAATTGTTGATTGTGTTTTTTTCCTTACTAAATATTGTTTTACTCAATGTTTTACTGGGTTTTATTTATTCATTTTTCTAAGTTAATTTTTTTATTTGTTGTTGCTTTTATGTATCTTTAAGTTTTGTGTCGTAATTGTGAAATTTTTAATGTTTAAATAGAAATTTATAATATAAGTTTGTAGTTGGGAATTGCTTAAAATAAAGTTTTTTTTGCATTTAGTCATCGTTATACATACATGCATATAATTCCTATATAAGTTTGTATATTTAATTAAGGATTTTTTAAATTATTTTACTGGAATTTATATAATATTTTTAAGATTTTATTTTGTTATTTAGTTTTTCTATCCATAATAATATCAGCAAAAACTTCAAAGGACGATATCTTAACAAAAACAAAAGATTTTTGAACAATACAAAACGTATTTTTATGGGGAAATGAAGCAATTTTTTAGACTTAGCTACGGTAGTTTCAAGCTTTATGTTAAGAAATCTCGAAGAAATAAGAAATTTTAACAGAGCTTAAATCTTTATTTTAAAGTCGACAGATTAGACTGTTATATCGTCTCAAATATGGCCAAAAACGAGGGTGTTTCAAACTTGATGATACAGTATATGAAAAATCTGATGAGGTTTGATGCCTGATCCGAATTCAGTTCCGCTCAATCTTTTAGAAAAGTATAATAAGGTCTCTAGGTTAAAAATTTGTTGGTCTGTGTGTTTTTCACGGTTGATTGGTTATCGGGTATCATGGTTATAAAATTGTTTATGTTCAACAATCAGACATATAGAAGATTTCTTTATTTGAAATTTTCCTTTTTAAAATTGGAAAATGTTCTAAATTTAAGCGTATCCTAGAGGGAGCATGCCTGAAGTGTGTTTGAGACAAAACTTCTCAACCACTTCTTTTAGTTTTAAAACAGGTATTGCATTATGATCTAGAGTTGTTATTCTCCTTTTAAACGAATCAGTTGCTTTAACAGTGTTTTTCCGTATATCTGGAAGAAGTTACAGTGTAATTTTTATTTTAAATTTTCAAGTGGGCGAGGTGCCACGCCCACATATACTACATTACCTACTATTGCGAGCTAAAAATAAAATGAGTATATGGGCAAAAATATAACAGCAATAGGCCCCTTAATGTTTTAAAAACAACATTAGTTTCAATATAAATATTTTAGACCAAAATGGACGAACTCTAGCAATAGTAGGTGTGGCACCTACCATATAAAGTAAAATCTGAACATCTGGAAAACTATAACAGAGTACAAGTAACTTTTGTTGAAATATAAATATTTTTAATAAAAATGGGCGATCTAAAGTAAATACCAAAATCTGCATATCCATAAACAGTAAGACTATTCAAATACTGTACGCATATCTTTAGGTATGGATCCTCGATCCAGCTTTAGGGGCGTGGTACATTCCATATGATGTAAATACTAAAACCTGCAAATCAGGAAAACTATAACAGATAGAGTCCACAATTTTGGTACAAGTTTTAATTTTTTTTGAGAAAAAATAGTGGGCGTGGTAATTACTTGAATATTCATAACTAGAACAGTTAGACTTAGGTAGGTAGGTAGGTTGATAGGAGGATGTTAAATCCGAAGAAATACACCTAGGCCACTATCGGGCCTGTTGTGCGCTCCTTATCATGAAAAAAAGGAAATGAATGAATTATTTTTCAGTGTTCATAAACTCAGTTTCCTGAACGTAATTCCTAAGAATCTTCCAATCAGTATTAGTCAGGAATGTTATTTCCGGAATAACATTACTTCCAAGATACTTGGATCTAACTTCGACGAATGCCTGGCAGTGGCAAAGAAAGTGCTCCAGAGTTTCACTGTCTTCTCTACATGCTCTACATTCGTCTGAATCCGCACGTCCAATTTTGCATAGATGTGCTCGTAATCCAGCGTATCCACTCAGAATATGTACCATCATACTAACTTCAGACTTTCTCATTTTGAGGAGATTTTTCGTCTTATGGTATACGCACAATTGGGACGAACGACGAATTTCGTATAGCACGACGAACTAGTCGACAAAAATTCGTTGCGTAAATTCGTCGAATGGAACACAATCAAATTATTCGTACTGCGAATCCGTTTCAAAAATGTAAGAAATTGGCCTCGAAAAAAACTAAAATTATATTTTTGTGAATGAATATCCCCAATTTTGAGATTGAGCTTCAAAATTTTTTCGAACATTATTTCGAATTTTCGAACTTTATTTTAAATATTCCAACATAGCATTGTAGTGTCATCAAGTGTACTCCAGACTGCCAAATTTCAGACAATTCGGGCCACTAGAACTGGTTTATGACCCAGTTTTTATGACCCAGAGATTATTTTAAGAGCATAAAAAATGTTTCGAACATATCTTCGAATTTTCAAATATAATTTCGGATATTCGAACATAATATTGTATTGTCATTAGCTGTACTCACAACCGCCAAATTTCAGCAAATTCGGGCTACCGGAATTGACTTTAAAACAATTTTCCCCAATTAATTCGTCGTTCGTCTGCGTAAGAAATAGAAATAAACCTATCGCATAGTTCGTTACGTACGACGAATTTCGTCATACGCAATGATTGTGTACATTTTCATATACCCAAGTGTGTTCTATTTCTGACGACGAATATTCGTTCCGAAAAATTCGTCGTTTGTCCCAATTGTGCGTATACTATTACTCTCATCAGGGTCACCCCATAGAATCTTCGTGGTTCTACCCACTGTTTCATTATTCCAAGAGGCCTTATGGAATTCTCTCACCCATATTTTTAGTTCAGCTTTTGTTGCGTCGAATGGTTTCGCGTTAACTGCCTCCAGCTTCCTACCCTTTAAAGCTATAACATTCGCCCTTTCGTTACCGACTACTCCTGAGTGGGCTGGTACCCATATGATGTGAACCTTACCTCTGGGAGAGTATTCAGTTAAAGCTTTCTTACAATCCAATACGGTCTTAGATTTAGTTCTATCGCCTGATATCGCCCTAATTGCCTAATTCCAGCTATATGGTGGTGCCTTCCATGTGAGGTAGTTACTAAAATTTGTACTTTTTTAATTACATCTATCTATCTATCTATCTATCTATCTATCTATCTATCTATCTGTCTGTCTATCTATCTATCTATCTATATATCTATCTATATATCTATCTATCTATCTATCTATCTATCTATCTATCTATCTATCTATCTATCTATCTATCTATCTATCTATCTATCTATCTATCTATCTATCTATCTATCTATCTATCTATCTATCTATCTATCTATCTATCTATCTATCTATCTATCTATCTATCTATCTATCTATCTATCTATCTATCTATCTATCTATCTATCTATCTATCTATCTATCTATCTATCTATCTATGTCTTAAGGTATTTCTGAAAGGTTACTTTTTACTTCAAAAAGAAAGGCCACGTACAAAATAAGTATCATATTGTTTTCAGGTTAGTGAAGCACACTGGGTATAGCTAGTTTTATAAATAAAGATTTCTTGGTGCTGCTATAACGCCTTAAAAAGGGACAAACAATCAGGAAACGATATCTCTAAACAAAATAAAAGGCCAGGTGCCACGCCCACATACAAAATAAGTATTATATTGTTTTCAGGTTAGCGAAGCACACCTGTTATAACGTTAAAAAGGGACAAAAATTAGTTTACTTCAGAGCACTATATCTCAAATCCCAGATGTGATGGAGAAAATGCGAGGTCAGATTCAGCGCTTCCTTTAGAATAGTATACTTTAGTCTCTGGGTTAAAAGAATGAATGTCGAAAAAGTCCCCTTTTATAGATTTTCACTCAATCAACAGCTTAATTAGGATCCAGATATATATACCCTTTTCACAAAGGTGAACCAAATAGCGAAATACATTTTTTAGTTATCGCAAAAACTTGTGTTATTTAAGATATAGACTCCCTCTTATATCGTTATACGAAAATTTTATCTTAAAAAATGTACATAAGTTTTATTTGAAATTTTAAATGCTTTAATATTAAGCAACCGAAGCACCATTGCTTTTAAATATTGAAATCATTAGACAAATTCTTTGAATTGAATTCATATTTTAAGTTTCTTATACACAACTATATTGTAAATAATTAAACGCATTTCATATACGATTACTGTAGTTTCACATTGCTTAAAAAAACCTACAAGCTTTGTAAATCTGTGGTATAAGGGTCGAATATAAAAAATAGTGCAAAAAATATACCTATTTTGCAATAGATACAGTTCCATTTGGACAAATATTTGACCTGTATTATCCTACTTTTATCCTTTTAGATATAAATTGATAATTTTACACAGATATTTTGTTTAATAAAATTGTACTTTTAAAGAACGTTTTTCATTTATTTATATTAAAAAACTAAAAAAAAAAAAAAAACAAATGCTAGATTGTACCTTTTATACAGGAAAAAGAGAAGGTAATTTTTACAAAAATATATTTTTCTAAGATTTAAAAAAATATAGTTTAATAAAATAGGTTTTTATGTAAATATATTATTATTTTATCGTTTTTAATCAATAGTAAATAATTGTGTTATAATTTAATAAACGAATGCTAATTAATAATATTAATTAAAATTAATAAAAAAAAAAATAAACTGCATGATAATTTTTTTTATCATTGAACTCCAAGAAATTGTTTATATTTTTCATGTGTTCATTTCTCAAAAGCATTTTGTTGAAAAGTTTTTTTTTTTTTGCATAATTATAAAATTTTATAATAATTAATAATATTTATTTATTATTATTTGAATCTCTTAGGGTACTGCTACTGATTTGGTAGTACAAATTGTTTTAATTGCTGAATCTATGCGTCTACAAGCTATGATGGCTACTTATGGTATACAAACTCAAACACCTCATGAGGTAGGTTCCATATGTTTTAAAAATCCAACTTATTTACATATTTAACTTTTATATTACATTAAAGGTTGAACCCGTGCAAATTTGGTCTTCCACGGAACTTATTAAAGTCTATCAACATTTAGGTGTTAATAATAAAGTTGGCTTATCGGGTCGTCCCTCGAGACCTGTAGGTTCTTTGGGCACTAGTAAAGTGTATCGTATTTGTGGCATGACTGTACTCTGTTATCCTTTGATATTCGAAGTTTCTGATTTTTATCTTTATCGTGATATGGCTTTGTTAATTGATGATATCAAAACTGAATTACAATTTGTGGGTAAATATTGGCGTTTATCTGGTAGACCTACGGTCTGTTTGTTAATACGTGAGGAACATATGCGTGATCCTCAGTTTAAAGAAATGTTAGATTTATTGGCCATGTTGAAGAAGGGCTATTGTGATGGCATGAAAGTTCGCATTGGCAGATTACAAAATCTTATTAGTAGTTCTTGCATAGGTGGGTATGGTTATAGATGAAAGTGTTGTTGTTTTGTTTAATTGTTTATTTATTTTTTAATTACAGAACATTTGGATTTTATGAATCAAAATGATTTATCAGATGAAGAGAATGCTTTTGCTCAAATTAATCATGAATATATTGGCTATCAATCGTTAACGGATGTCCCTAAGGCACAGACGTATACAGAAGAAAAAATAACCGTAGAGGTGAGTTTAATTTAGACTTTGTTTTTTTTATAATTTAAAATTTAAGAAATTGAGAATTGTTTAAATGCCTCGAAAATTTTTTACTGAAAAATTTAAACTTTTGTTTAAAGCAACGTTCGGGAAGAAGAATAGAAGTTATAACCTTAATGTATATGCTCTCCAAGGTTTCGCTAAATTAACAAATGTTTTTTAAGGTGAAGTTGGTACTAAAAGTAGTTATTGTTTCTGTAATTGCTGCATTGTCAAGAAGCTTTGAAGGCATCCCTAAAAGCAGTTTCAAGCTCAGCTGTGATATATTTGACAGTGAAAAATTGAGTCAAGAGTGTCCAGAACCTCTTTTGTTGTTTGTGTCTCAAATGTAGGTTCCTGATCATTAATTGCAGCAATCAGATTGTTGTCTATTATAAAGCCCAAGAGGTCAAGGCCTCTTTCGTTTTTGTTCGTGCTGCACCATAATAGTTGGTGATTAACGTCACATCCTATAAACAAGTGCACGTTAGTTACTTATTACCTACTTACTTACTTACTTACTTACTTACTTACTTACTTACTTACTTACTTACTTACTTACTTACTTACTTACTTACTTACTTACTTACTTACTTACTTACTTACTTACTTACTTACTTACTTACTTACTTACTTACTTACTTACTTACTTACTTACTTACTTACTTACTTACTTACTTACTTACTTACTTACTTACTTACTTACTTACTTACTTACTTACTTACTTACTTACTTACTTACTTACTTACTTACTTACTTACTTACTTACTTACTTACTTACTTACTTACTTACTTACTTACTTACTTACTTACTTACTTACTTACTTACTTACTTACTTACTTACTTACTTACTTACTTACTTACTTACTTACTTACTTACTTACTTACTTACTTACTTACTTACTTACTTACTTACTTACTTACTTACTTACTTACTTACTTACTTACTTACTTACTTACTTACTTACTTACTTACTTACTTACTTACTTACTTACTTACTTACTTACTTACTTACTTACTTACTTACTTACTTACTTACTTACTTACTTACTTACTTACTTACTTACTTACTTACTTACTTACTTACTTACTTACTTACTTACTTACTTAACTTACTTACTTACTTACTTACTTACTTACTTACTTACTTACTTACTTACTTACTTACTTACTACTTACTTACTTACTTACTTACTTACTTACTTACTTACTTACTTACTTACTTACTTACTTACTTACTTACTTACTTCTACTTCTTACTTACTTACTTACTTACTTACTTACTTACTTACTTACCTCTTCAATTCAATCTTCTCAAAAGTTAGTTAGAAACAAGGATGTAGTTACATCTAATCCTAAGAAATAACCTAGGTTTCCACCGCCCATGTTGTGTGCTCCTTTACCAGCGCCTCTGTTGGGAATCGAACCAACGACTAGACCACTTAACTACAAACCTACACTAACTCAACGAAAGCACACTTTTAATACAATATTTATTACAATTTTCCAGCACTATAATCACAAACCAACACATGAAATTATCGATGCTTTACGCAGTACCGAATCTCTCTTCTGTCTCTGTCAACTCTGGGGCATACTACTAAATCGTGAGGGTTCTCATTTTGAAGTTAACGGTCTATCCGTTCAACAAGCTCTAACACAATTATATCATCGTGCTGGCTCTTTGCGTTATTGGCGTGCCGTACGTTATTGTTCTTCCCTACTACATCACATTGTTGATTCTATTAGTCCTTTTATAACGACTGTCCTGGTAAATGGCAAAGAATTGACGGTTGGTGTTATTGGACAAAAGGAAACAGTATTTGATAAACCTATGACACCAGCAGAAATACGTGATGTTATGTATAATACAGTACAACCGTATAATGTTATACAGGCAGTATTGCAACAGGAAGTTGTGTTATATTGCGGACGTTTAATCGCTACTAATCCCTCTATGTTTAGAGGTATTTTAAAGGTGAGTTTGTGGTAATATCTTAGAAATTATTTTGTAAAATATTTAAATGTTTTTCTATCATAATAAAGATTCGCATTGGTTGGGTTTTGGAGGCTATGCGTATTTATTTGCAAATTTCTGGCCAAGAAACAATAGATGTAGATAATTTATCACCGTTTCAAGTGCGTATCCTATTGCAAAAAGTTCTTACTGTTAGTGAATGGGCCACCGAAGAAAGGTAATTTTAAGCATAAATTGAATTAAAATTGTTTTACTAATTATTTTTTTTTTTTTTTTAATGACTAACAGACTTACAACTTTACAAAAACGCCAATTGGAGGGTTGTTTGTGTCGAGTGCCCAAAAACTTTTATAATAAAATCTGGGAAATTTTACTACGCACTCCGCTGGGTATAACCACACAGGGACATTTATTGCCAGCCTCTCCTACCTTAATTAATATGAGTAGAGGAGAATTAAACTTTTCGCTTTTAGTCGAAGAGACCTTAATTTGTATAGAGAAACCAGAAAGACGACAAATAACTGTGGAATTATTATGTATTATAGCGACAATATTAAGCAGGTGAGTTTTAATTTAATACATATGTAAATATTTAGCGATACTGAGAAAATAATAAAATATGGTATTTGCTTACAGGAATCCCGAATTACATTTCAAACATGCTTTAGATTTGGATGAAATCTTATTAGAAGCCTTTTAATGTATTGCAAGGTTAGTATTATATAACATTAAACTATTTCTGGATTTCGATTTAGCTTTATTTTGTTTTCTATTTCAGGATAACAATATACAAGATCATAACAATGATATGACACCATTTTATGCTTTAGTATATAATGAAACCACTGGCTATTTAGCTCGTGCTGCTGTTAATAAAGTTTTACAAGGCGGTGCCTTTTCAACACAGGGAGATGAATTTAATGAGGAAAATTTACATGATGAAACCTGCAAAGTTTCTTAATTTTCATTCATATATACGTATGTATGTAGTGTTAGTTTTATAGTTTTTATAACTCAACTAAGAATTTATATTTAATTTCCATACTTCTTAAAGTTTCTTTTAACCATGACAGAAATGCTCTTCTAAAATTGAATTTATTCATTATACTTTTCGCACAATTTTTGTGAAACTTTAAGTTCCTTTTTTCTGAACTTCCCTCGAAATTGTTCTTTTAACTCTCGAAACCTAGTAACACTTACTCACTTTTTGACCTTTATATAAATGTTTATTAATTAAGTAATATTATTATGGTATAAAATTTTAATTTATGTATGTATATGTATGATACATCTTAATGGTTTTTAAATAAAAAAAGCAAAACAAAAGTATATGAAGAGATTTTGAGATTTTGATTGTTAATTTCGCTATTTGTAAAGATCGAGGTCATGACCTCAAATTAAAAGAATATTCGTTTACCTTAAAACGTCAAGCAATTAATTATCCCCCTCATAAAGCAGGTTTAATATAAAATACCTACAAATTTCGTGATTGCCAGTAACATTGATGCAATCGGAAACCTTTAAGGTGTTAAGTAACAACCTTGAACCCTTCATTAAATGTTGAAAGTTTTCTTTTTGTAAACAACACATTATGAACTCTTGTCCATCACAATGTTGTTAACAAACATATCTATACAAAACCACAAATATAAAATTAAATAATATATAATAAAAATCAATAACAGACAAAACCAAAAACAAACGATATACAAATCTACACAACAGCCTTTTCGGACAAGGGATTAAATGAAGGTTTTATGTAAATGTTTTTCTTAAACAAAACAAAATTGCAAAAAAAAAAAAAAATTCTAAACAACAAAAGCACAAATTAGAAGACTATAAAACAAACAGGTCACGTATGGAAACAATTTAGTATTTTCTAAAAACTCAAAGCGAGCTAAACGTTAAAAAAAAACGCAAATTTCTCATATTATGGGTACCTCTTCAGTTCAACAATGGATGACAAATGAAATAGAACGTTTATCCTCGAAATGGCAACGTTATAAACCCACTGGTTCGGGCTACAATCGTATACAATCTGTGCGTCTTTCAAAAAGTGTAACGCATATGCTAAATAATCCTTTGCCGCCCGAAGATCGTTTGGGAAAACCTTCCACGAGAAGATTATCACAAGGTGCTAAAGGTGTTTTAAGCTGTTCACCTTCCGAATGGGAAGAAGTGCATCCCAATGTGAATGTAAATCGTCCTGGTTTACCCGAAGATGATGTGGAAATACCACAACCCCAAACATTTACCTACTATCGAAATTGTGCCACTAGGGTTACGTAAAACACAGCTTGTTTTAAAATCTAATAGTTATTATCGATTTTGTTTGTTATGAATGCATTTTTTTGTGGCATTGTAATCAAATGAGAAATATATACATAGTATAAGTGTTAGTTGGTAGTAGTTGCAATTTATTAATTTAATATATTTTTTTAACTAGATATTTAGTTTTAATCAAATACTTTTTTGTAATTTTAATATTTTTAAAATAATCCAGTTTTTTTTATATACATTCATATATAAATATAATTCTGAGATTTTGAAAGGCATTATGGAAATATGCCAATAACTGCATTATTAAGCAGTATCAATTAAAATTTAAGGGAAAAATCTTTATTCGATATTTAATAATAAAAATTCAACATAATTCGGCTGCTTAAAGAAAGAAAAAATAATTAAATTTGTTTATTTCGTAAAGAGTTTATGTAAGTAAGTATTTATTTAAAACTGTTAAATGTTTTAAAAAAAATCCAGAAAACTCGATTTCTTTAACTACAAAACACTAAGCAACAAAAGAAATTTGATTTCAACAAACACATACAGAAGGACAAACAGACGGACGGACATACTATGTATGAAGCTTAATCACCTCCACTATCTATAAGCCATCCACCAGGGTGAAAGTTATCAAAATATACTTACTGCTTATAACAACTTTTAAACATTTATTTTAAAAATTTTTTATTAAGTTGATAGTTTATTGAAAAAATACAAACTTTATTTCTTGTGTTATACTTTACATAATTAAATAAAAATCTAGTTTTGTTTTTATATTTTAGATTTTAAATTTGTCTAATATTAAACATTAAAATAGGTACCATTCTTTATTTGTTATTTTATTAATAAATAGTTAATAAAGGTAAAAAACATTTATTTTTTTTTTGTGTTTTTTTTTTCATCAGTTGTTTTTGTTTTCTTCGTTTTTTGTTTAACATTAATTATTTTCAAACAATATAGTTATTATTTTTTATTATATTTTAATATCAAAAAAATAATTTGTTATATAAAAAAAGAATTCCTAAAGACTAAACAAAAATTATTATTTTATTTTTAGGATTTACACATAATAATTATTTGTTTTGTTCGTTAACGTCGCCCTTAAATTAAATTTTGCAAAATGTTATCAATTCCAATTATAAAAAAAAATAATTTGGTTTTTAACGATATGAATATATGACTAACTAACTGACTGACTGACTGCTTTTATGTATTTATATTGTTTTTTTTTTTTTTTTTTTTGTAATAGTGAATGATATGAGTTTTTGTATGATATTTTAAGTTTTTTTCCTAATAGAAGTTTAAACATTAATAAATGTATGAATTTTGATTAAATATTTAGTTTATGCAAGCATATTTAGATTATTGTATTTCTGTTTTGTTTTTCTTTCGGTTTTTTTTTTTGATTTTAATTAAATTATTATTTTTTTTTTTTTTAATTACAACATTTAAGGCATTTTATTAAATATTTTGGCTTTTTCGTAAAAAAATTAATTATTTTTAAGTTAAGTTTTGTTTCCATATTATAACACTGGAGTGATTTTTTTTTTTTTTTTTTGTAAGGAAATTTTGAGAAAAATATTTGGAGATTCTTTAAACAAAATCGTATAGTTTTAAATAAATCGAAAAACTTATTTTAAAAAAGATTAAGCAAAGATCTTTCAAACAATTTGAAATATTTGCAAATTTATTAATAATTATTATTTCACTGTTTAGAACAGACAGTTCTAGAACAGAACAAGTATTGAACTAGAACAGAAGTAGAACGAACTAGAACTGAACTAGAACTGAACTATAACAGAATTAGAACAGAACTAGAACTGAACTAGAATAGAACTAGAACAGAACTAGAACAGAACTAGAACAGAACTAGAACAGAACTATAGCAGAACTAGAACAGAACTAGAACGAACTTGAACTAAACTAGAACGAACTTGAACTGAACTAGAACGAACTTGAACTGAACTAGAACTGAACTAGAACTGAACCAGAACTAGAACAGAACTGAACTAGAACTGAACTAGAACTGAACTAGAACTAAACTAGAACTGAAATAGAACAGAACTAGAAATGAGCTAGAACTGAACTAGATCTGAACTACAACTGAACTAGAACTGAACTAGAACTGAACTAGAACTGAACTAGAACTGAACTAGAACTGAACTGAACTAGAACTGAACTAGAACTGAACTAGAACTGAACTAGAACTGAACTAGAACTGAACTAGAACTGAACTAGAACTGAACTGAACTAGAACTGAACTAGAACTGAACTAGAACTGAACTAGAACTGAACTAGAACTGAGCTAGAACTGAACTAGAACTGAACTAGAACTGAATTAGAACTGAACTAGAACTGAACAAGAACAGAAGTAGAACTGAACTAGAACTGAACTAGATCTGAACTAGAACTGAACTAGAACTGAACTAGAACTGAACTAGAACTGAACTAGAACTGAGCTAGAACTGAGCTAGAATTGAACTAGAACTGAACTAGAACTGAACTAGAACTGAATTAGAACTGAACTAGAACTGAACTAGAACTGAACTAGAACTGAACTAGAACTGAACTAGAACTGAACTAGAACTGAACTAGAACTGAACTAGAACTGATCTAGAACTGAACTAGAACAGAACTGAACTAGAACTGAACTAGAACTGAACTAGAACTGAACTTGAACTGAACTAGAACTGAACTAGAACTGAACTAGAACTGAACTAGAACTTAACTAGAACTGAACTAGAACTGAACTAGAACTGAACTAGAACTGAACTAGAACTGAACTAGAACTGAACTAGAACTGAACTAGAACTGAACTAGAACTGAACTAGAACTGAACTAGAACTGAACTAGAACTGAACTAGAACTGAACTAGAACTGAACTAGAACTGAACTAGAACTGAACTAGAACTGAACTAGAACTGAACTAGAACTGAGCTAGAACTGAACAAGAACTGAATTAGAACTGAACTAGAACTGAAATAGAACAGAACTAGAAATGAGCTAGAACTGAACTAGAACTGAACTAGATCTGAACTAGAACTGAACTACAACTGAACTAAAACTGAACTAGAACTGAACTAGAACTGAACTAGAACTGAATTAGAACTGAACTAGAACTGAACAAGAACAGAAGTAGAACTGAACTAGAACTGAATTATAACTGAACTAGAACTGAACTAGAACGCAATTAGAACAGAACTAGAACTTATATTTTAAAATAAACTCTTCTTTTTAATAACTTCCAGTGTTATAGTATATGTTTTATATTAGTATTTTTCCTCAAAATATATCTAAAACAACTTTATACACAAGCACTTGAATAATATTGCAATTAGTAAAAAAAAATCAATAAAAAGTAATATAAAAAATACGAATAACTTCTCTTTGTATTATTATCACTTATTTAGAATAACTAGTTTAATAATATTAAACATATAAATTGTTTATCTAAATTGTTTTCTTTTTGTATTTATTACATTATTATTATTACAATATTATTTTTAATATTATTATTATAATAATTATTTTGTTTTTATGTTTTGTATCAAAAAAATGCTTAAAATCCCTGAATATGAGTTCACATTTTATTACAATTATAATTATTATTAACTATACTATAAAGTATAAATAGCATTTTAAATAACAACTTCATTTCAAATAAAGTTTATTTTTTGAGAAACAAAAACTACATTAAACTGTTAGCATTTTCACTGGAAATGTTTTGTTATGAAAACATGTAGATTATTAACATAAACTTTATTTAAAAATTTCATAAGCTTAATAAATTTTATAATATTTCTAAATAAATTTTAAACAAAAAAAATTCTTCAATTCAAATAATTAATTTGTATAACTTTTTTTTTTTTTTTTTTTGCTTAAAATTCTATTCAAGAAAATATATAAAACTTATTAACATTATTTTTAGTTTAATTACATATGCTATTAAAACATAAATTATACATAAATAATATCCACAATAATTAATTAATTAATTGGTAACAGTAGTAATATTCATAATCAAATCATACAATAATAATTCGTAGGCAGTTCTTAAGTTTTGATTGTGTACTTTGAAAAAAAAAAGAAAAATTAAAATTTTTTAAGAATGAAGTTTGAAGTATTTTTGTACTTCTTGTTGATTAAATGTAAAAAAATATTTTTAAGAATTTATCTGCAGGAAATTTGCTTTCAAATATTGAATTTGTTTCTTTCTATTTTAAGACACAGTCAGTTAAGGTTATTGAACATTAGCTGGTTGTGGATGATCATTACGTCGCCCACTCATACGGCTACGCACCGAATCACTATCGGTCTCATCATCGGCAATTTCTTCACGTGGTCGTGTCCATTTGATCATGGTTTCCGGTGATCGGTACAAGAAGATCAATTTGGCAAAGAGATCTTCTTCCAGCATGAATTCTAAAGCTTCTCTCACCTGTGGGAAGGAAATGAAATGTTTGGAAAATATGTTAATATCTGTAAAATTGGACAGTACTAAACTAGAACTTAACTAGAACTGAACTAGAACTGAACTAGAACTGAACTAGAACTGAACTAGAACTGAACTAGAACTGAACTAGAACTGAACTAGAACTGAACTAGAACTGAACTAGAACTGAACTAGAACTGAACTAGAACTGAACTAGAACTGAACTAGAACTGAACTAGAACTGAACTAGAACTGAACTAGAACTGAACTAGAACTGAACTTGAACTGAACTAGAACTGAACTAGAACTGAACTAGAACTGAACTTGAACTGAACTAGAACTGAACTAGAACTGAACTAGAACTGAACTAGAACTGAACTTGAATTGAACTAGAACTGAACTAGAACTGAACTAGAACTGAACTAGAACTGAACTAGAAACTGAACCAGAACTGAACTAGAACTGAATTAGAACTGAACTAGAACTGAACTAGAACTGAACTAAAACTAAACTAAAACAGAACTAGAACAGAACTAGAACTGAAATAGAACTGAACTAGAACTGAAATAGAACTGAACTAGAACTGAACTAGAACTGAACTAGAACTGAACTACTAGAACTGAACTAGAACTGAACTAGAACTGAACTAGAACTGAACTAGAACTGAACTAGAACTGAACTAGAACTGAACTGAACTAGAACTGAACTAGAACTGAACTAGAACTGAACTAGAACTGAACTAGAACTGAACTAGAACTGAACTAGAACTGAACTAGAACTGAACTAGAACTGAACTAGAACTGAACTAGAACTGAACTAGAACTGAACTAGAACTGAACTAGAACTGAACTAGAACTGAACTAGAACTGAACTAGAACTGAACTAGAACTGAACTAGAACTGAACTAGAACTGAACTAGAACTGAACTAGAACTGAACTAGAACTGAACTAGAACTGAACTAGAACTGAACTAGAACTGAACTAGAACTGAACTAGAACTGAACTAGAACTGAACTAGAACTGAACTAGAACTGAACTAGAACTGAACTAGAACTGAACTAGAACTGAACTAGAACTGAACTAGAACTGAACTAGAACTGAACTAGAACTGAACTAGAACTGAACTAGAACTGAACTAGAACTGAACTAGAACTGAACTAGAACTGAACTAGAACTGAACTAGAACTGAACTAGAACTGAACTAGAACTGAACTAGAACGACTAGAACTGAACTAGAACTGAACTAGAACTGAACTAGAACTGACTAGAACTGAACTAGAACTGAACTAGAACTGAACTAGAACTGAATTAGAACTGAATTAGAACTGAACTAGAACTGAACTAGAACTGAACTAGAACTGAACTAGAACTGAACTAGAACTGAACTAGAACTGAACTAGAACTGAACTAGAACTAAACTAGAACTGAAAAAGAACTAAACTAGAACCGAAATAGAACTGAACTAGAACTTTCGATTTCTCAGTATAAATTTTTCGAATTATAACCTCAAAATTTTTCAAAATCTCCAATATTTGTTTTAAATACTTCTTATCACAACTTACCAAATAAATATCAAGGCACAGTTGCAGGACTCTATCAACATTTGGCAAATCTTCATGCATAATTCTTCTCGTTTGACCACCCAAGAAATTCTTCAAAAATCTGGAGGCCAATAACACGAATGTGGTGTACAATCCGATGATACTAAAATCAAACAAAAAAGATTTATAAAAGTAAGCATCAATTTTAAACATGTATTTTTATTAAAAAAACTTACCCTCCTCCCGTTAAGAAGGTCCATGTTGAAGGGAATTTCTTATCGTTAAACGTATAAAACACAATACCTGATGAACAATCGTAAAGAGGTAATTTTTTCAGTAATGTCGATACAGCATCATCTCCCCCACAATAGTCTGTTATTTCCCACCATAAACTAGTATTACCCGCCGAATTCATGGATATACTCATATTAGTAAAATCTATAAAAATTAAATGGAAATTATACAACTATATTCAACTTCAGTTACATGTCAGTTACCAACCGGAATATTTTGTATTATTAACTTTAGGTATCAGTGCAGATATATAAGTAGGATCTCCAGAGTTTAAAACTTTTATAAATTTCGGCACTATATTGGGTATGGTGGCATCCGTATCATTTTCATTACCAGTTCTAATCATATTCTCTAAATTCTTTCTATCGGCATAGTCACCCGTCATTTCCCAAGTGATTTCGGAGCCGACAGTGCCAACTTGATTTTTAACCGGCGGTGTACGTGTTAACTCATAGGACAAACGTACAACCAATGTTACATCTTAAATAAGGTGGGAATAAAAGAATATTTATATTAAAATAGTTGCAATAGATTATAATTTTTATAAAATTTTCGAACATAAATCGAATTTTGGAATCTGACAAATTCATGCAATTCTACGTTTTAGAAATGACATCTTAAAAAAAAACAAAACTCTTATTTTAGTTGGAAAAAGTAAATATCGCTTAATATTCAACAAAAAGAAACGACCACTTACTACTTTCCAATTCCGACAACAATCTTGCCTTATCTGGTGGTGCTATATTCCACATTGAGGGTGAATTCCTTTTCAATTTTATAGCCGCTACATCTGAAGCATCATAGTTCAATAAGAATGATAACGCCTCCTTATCCTTTATATAGGCATTTTTCATAGCAGAGAACATGCTGTCGTCGAATACAAAAGAACTCTCGCGCGTGCTAGCCACATAGATGGGATCGTATGAACCAATACGTATAGAAACTCTAACTTCTGTGGGTACATTAGATTGTCCTACAGCACCGGAAAGAGCAAACAATGTCAGAGGACCCCATAAAGCAAAAACGATGAGTAGTATAGCCGAACCGCCCATTAACAGTTTCATAAATGTGGCTTTCTTTTGAGCCCTTACAGCGGGGAAATCTGTTTCCATTTGTCGTAAACATTTAATAGAATAAATATTGGCAAATATATCTTCCATTTTCAACCAATCGAATAAAGTCATTGTGGTATCCGTACATAGCCAATCTAAAATAGTACGCAACTCATACAGGAAAGGTATAAGCATGTAACTGTAATTTACATAAAAAGTTTTTAATAAAATTTTCAATTTTCTTGTGCTATGTGTAAAGTACTTACATTTTAAATGAAATCATATTAATCATTGAAAAACTCTTGGTTAAGAAATTACCCAATATACGATTTGGATAACCACATTTAATTTGATAACTTGAGAGCAGCAAATAGAAACATTTTATAATATAGAATATAATGGGTGGGGCGGAAGCATAGAAACTTCTTTCCGTTACAGCGGGTACAATAAAGAACATCCAGACATGTATGCCCACTACCGAAATAAAGTGGAATATAATTTTATAAACCAAAGCCTTGCGCAAGTACAGAGCACGATCGATAACAATTAAAACGAATTGTACCAGCAACATAATCAGAAAAGGAATGGGTACTTTGTTTTCTGCCAAATAGGTTTTAACACCACCATCAGCTTGTTTAGACTAGTTTTAATAAAGGTAAAGAAGATCAAATTTGATAAATTTTAATATTCGGAAATGAGTTTTTGAAAACTTACACTAAAGGCTGTAAAACCGAAAAGTAATACAAAGAAGTTGATAAAATCACACAGGAACATGAGAGCATATACATCGGTAGGTAGACGAGCTTTGTGTACCAGATTGTGGAAAAATTTCGTTAAACCAGATAGATACTTATTACGCCTATAATTTAAAGAAAATAATTTTATTAAATCGATACTTACTAAGGAGTAACAGTAACAAGAACTGAACTGAACTAGAACTAGAACTGAACTAGAACTGAACTAGAACTGAACTAGAAGTGAACTAGAACTGAACTAGAACTGAACTAGAACTGAACTAGAACTGAACTAGAACTGAACTAGAACTGAACTAGAACTGAACTAGAACTGAACTAGAACTAAACTAGAACTGAACTAGAACTAAACTAGAACTGAACTAGAACTGAACTAGAACTGAACTAGAACTGAACTAGAACTGAACTAGAACTGAACTAGAACTGAACTAGAACTGAAATAGAACTGAAATAGAACTGAACTAGAACTGAACTAGAACTGAACTAGAACTGAACTAGAACTGAACTAGAACTGATTTAGAACTGAACTAGAACTGAACTAGAACTGAACTAGAACTGAACTAGAACTGAACTCGAACTGAACTAGAACTGAACTAGAACTGAACTAGAACTGAACTAGAACTGAACTAGAACTGAACTAGAACTGATTTAGAACTGAACTAGAACTGAAATAGAACTGAACTAGAACTGAACTAGAACTGAACTAGAACTGAACTAGAACTGAACTAGAACTGATTTAGAACTGAACTAGAACTGAACTAGAACTGAACTAGAACTGAACTAGAACTGAACTAGAACTGAACTCGAACTGAACTAGAACTGAACTAGAACTGAACTAGAACTGAACTAGAACTGAACTAGAACTGAACTAGAACTGAACTAGAACTGAACTAGAACTGAACTAGAACTGAACTAGAACTGAACTAGAACTGAACTAGAACTGAACTAGAACTCAACTAGAACTGAACTAGAACTGAACTAGAACTGAACTAGAACTGAACTGGAACTGAACTAGAACTGAACTAGAACTCAACTAGAACTGAACTAGAACTGAACTAGAACTGAACTAGAACTGAACTAGAACTGCACTAGAACTGAACTAGAACTGAACTGAACTAGAACTGAACTAGAACTGAACTAGAACCGAACTAGAACTGAACTAGAACTGAACTAGAACTGAACTAGAACTGAACTAGAACTGAACTAGAACTGAACTAGAACTGAACTAGAACTGAACTAGAACTGAACTAGAACTGAACTAGAACTGAACTAGAACTGAACTAGAACTGAACTAGAACTGAACTAGAACTGAACTAGAACTGAACTAGAACTGAACTAGAACTGAACTAGAACTGAACTAGAACTGAACTAGAACTGAACTAGAACTGAACTAGAACTGAACTAGAACTGAACTAGAACTGAACTAGAACTGAACTAGAACTGAACTAGAACTGAACTAGAACTGAACTAGAACTGAACTAGAACTGAACTGAACTAGAACTGAAATAAAACTGAACTAGAACTGAACTAGAACTGAACTAGAACTGAACTAGAACTGAACTAGAACTGAACTAGAACTGAACTAGAACTGAACTAGAACTGAACTAGAACTGAACTAGAACTGAACTAGAACTGAACTAGAACTGAACTAGAACTGAACTAGAACTAAACTAGAACTGAACTAGAACTAAACTAGAACTAAACTAGAACTGAACTAGAATTTAATACTTACTGCAAATTCTCCACACGTTTAACTAAATCATTGGGAGATACCGTTAAACGTTGTTCGCTATTACGTTCGGAACCGCCCGAGTTACGGCGTTCAGAATTGGCATCTTCATCACCATTAGTATCATTCCTATAGGCAATTAAATAAGAATTAAACAGTTTTTTTTAATATTATAAAACATGATTAAAATTATATAAAACAAAAAAATATTATGTTTTTTTAAACAATATACCTCTTATTTTTAAACACATCTTGACTAGAAATGGTTTCATTACTTGTATTAACCCATTTAACAACATTTAAACTTTTGAAACTTGTTGAATTAATAATTTCACTAAATGAATCTTTAATAGATACTTTTTTCGATTTTCTTTTTTTTAATCTTTGAGATATTTTATAAAAACTTATTATATCTTGCTTTGATTCTACTACATTTAAAGAATCTGAACTTGAGCTTGAAATTGGTTCGGTATTTGAGGCTTTATTTTGTTTGCTTTTAAGCTTTGCTAAGAGAGCTCATGAAAAGTTTATATTCTTTTAAAAATGTATGTAACAATTTAAATTTAACTTTACCTGCCCTTAAAAATGGAAATATTTTATAGAATTTTATTATTTTTAAAAGTTCTTTTTAATATACTTACAACGTAGACTTGGAATCATAATCATCTTCACTGTATTTATCAATGGGTTTATTATCAATCTTCCATAAACCATGAGATTTCAAAATGAATCTGAAATTAAGAACATAGTTTTAAGCAATTTCAGAAATTTTTAATTATGTTAAAAAAACACTTTCTTACCTATGGAAAAATAGCACCAATAGCAATAACAAATCATAGGTGGCATAATCTGAAGACATTTCCACACCAAACAATTTCTCAATACCCAAAGGATTATTGGGTAAATTGTAATGGTAATTGACCCAAATTAATTTGAATTGGAAGATACATTTGATAAGTACTATGGCCTGGGTATAAGCAATCAAAGTAACCCAGAAAGTTTTCGTTGGCCGTGGCAATGACAAAGTGCCCCAAAGGAAGACCATTAAGGGTAGTGGTAATGAAATTAAACTTGCATTTACCACCTAACGGTTAAAATAAAAAGTAATTAATAAAAATTTTCACTTGTTATGGATTTATATCGCAAACTTACTTGATTTATAAACACCACTATATAACAGATCAAATCAGTATTCGATAATATAGCATACCAAGCTGATATTAAAACCTCCACAATTATATTGTGATCGCGTGCAGTAAAATCTTCATCGTCAAAGGCAATTTCCGTGCTGTAATATCGAAATTTTTATAAATTAAAAAAGTCTTGTCTATAAGAAATAAAGTTTAGGACTGTTCTGTTATTGTACTTGATAAATTAGTTATGATTCTAGCCCGTAATAGGAATCTATGTTGTATGACTCTGGCGTAATGAAATTACTAAAAAAATTGCTTAAAACGCTACTTTATGAGGATTTTATGAGATATGTCTTGAAAATTTCAGATGAACATAACCGATTCAGGTTTTATTTAAAGTTTTTTTCACAATGAAATGTATTCTAGGTATTTTAACAACAACGATCAAGAAGTTATTGTAACCTTGGATAGAATTACTTGTAATTACAAATTTAGAGCAGATTTGTTCTTCGAAAAGATTTTAAATCGATTTTCAGAACTAGAAGTTGTTTTAGAAAACAATAAGGGGGAAGGGACCAACTTTAGATCCAATACCCACCCACCTTAAAGTATACTAAATGTTTCAGTATCACTTTCAGAGTCGATTAAGCCATATACGCTCATGTAAACTTTGTGCAAAGGTAGAGGCCACAATTTTCAAGTTTATTTGATGAATTTTGGACCATATATATTTTTTTTAGTACAAGGACGAAGCCTACTAAAAATAGTTGATGTCGGTTCAATATTTCACCTAGCTTTTATACAAGCGGACCTTCCGATCTTTGCTTTTAGCTCATAACTACGTCAAATATACTAATATATCTCTTTAACTTAGCATATAAATGACCGATTTTCCTGATGATCGGTCCTCAGCCCCTTTATAAACGTTCAAAATGGACTTGTAACTAGGGTTCTATAAATCGAATTTAAAGTAATCGAAGATTCAGATTTTCGTCGGAGAAAGTCGAAGTCGACTTTTTGTCTTAAGAAAGCCGATAAATCGATCGAATCGATCTTTTAAGAAAAAAGTCGAAGAATCGATTTTACAAATAAAAATAAAAAAGTTGAAAAGCCGAAAAAAATCGAAAGTCGATAATTAAAAAGTTCAAAAAGTTGACTTTATCCTTACAGACAGGGCATTACATAATAGATGCGCACGCTAGAAGACTCAATCTTCCATACACGAACTTTTCTAGAAGTTGTCATGATGAGGATCAGGAGGAGACGATTGAACACTTCCTTTGTCACTGTCCCGCCGTCTCGGCTATCAGGACTGATACCTTGGGTAGTTCGACATTGTGGATCTATCGAGGATGAAAGTGAATAGGATAGTGTCCTTTCCTCGTGCCTCAGGTTGGTTTGACTCCGCACTGAACATGGACACGTAATATCCCATGGGTAGATCGAGGTGCGATCTGCTCCAGGGTATCACAACGGGACCCAAGTGTGTCGACTCTCTAGTCGACAACCTCTATAACCTAATATAACTTTCATAAAACACAAGAGTCGAAAATTTGACATTTCACAAAACACAAAAGTCGAAAAGTCGACTTTTCATAAAACATCAAAAGTCGACTTTTCATAAAACACCAAAAGTCGTACAATAGACCTTTCAAAAATACAAAAAATCATCTTTTTGATTCAACCCTACCAACCAAATGTGTTTGTTAGACTTTTGTTCGTGTCTTGAAAGATATGAAAATATCGAACAGAACAGTCCTAAGTTTAATAAGTTTTGAACTATATGATACTTATGAACTTATTATAATTACACACAAAAATATCGACGGGGTATTAACAGTTTTATTTAACATAGTTTAAAGATTCCTACAGTTATCAATATCTTATTACGTACTGTACATCAAATGGACGTTTTTTTGAATATTTATCTTTTGATATATATTTCGTATTTCAATATTTATGCGAGCCCCAGTTAATGGAGCCTACAACAGCAGCAATAGTGACCAAGATGTATTTATTTGGATTTGATGTGACCTACATTGATCCACCTTTCAATTAATCTACACATTATGGAAATTACACCGAATTTTCGGAATTGTGTCGTTATTTATGGGAGCCCCAGTTAATGGAGCGTACGACAGCCCCAATAGTGGCGTAGATGTATTTATTTGGATTTGATGTGACCTACATTGATTCTCCTTTCAATTAATCTACACATTATGGAAATTACATCCGAATTTTCGGAATTGTGTCGTTATTTATAGACCGATTTTGCTTATTTTAAATTTTTTGCTCTTGGAAGCATGTCTGATGAAGAAGTATGTTATCTTTGGGAATTCAATAAACATACAGAGAGACGGACATAGTATAAGAAAATTCTTCCTTATTCTGCATTTCGATTACGCTACGATATAAAATTGGTATTCCGAAAAAAGACGGAATCTTAAGAAAAAGAAGAAGCAATTCCATTTTATTTCAATGCTTTACGATTGAGTGTGTATTGTGCATTACGATATTAACTACGTTTTTGTAAGTTGTCATTTTAGGGACGGAGCTTCGAATCCAAATGCAGAATACCAATGTTGCCAAACGGTGAAAACTTCTATTCGAATTGAAATGCAGAATAGGGCTGATTATTTATTTTAAAAGTTATCAATGGTGAAAATTATAACCTTTAACAAACCTTTAATAAAACTGTTAATATACCTTTTATAATATGTATTAAAAAAAAATATTATACTAAAAATTAAATTTACAGAAATAGTATTACAACATTCAATAGTTAAGAAAAAAATACGTTAATAACTATAATTTCGAAAACTAAATTTTACAATAAATTAATTTAAATTATTTAAAAAGTGTTACATTAACTCAAGTTATGTGAACTTTATATTTTATTATAGTTAGTTAATTAGTTAGAGTTTTTTTTAAATTTATTAAGTAATATAGTCTTAATCAAAATATTTAGCTAGCTTTAAAAATAATTCACTAAAACCCATTTTAGATACGAGTATTTGTAATCATAATTACTTCTTGTTCAAGAAACATAAGTAATTTTATATAGAAAATAGATTTTTCAGTGCTAAGAGACATTCAAATATACAAATATTGAAAAAAATAACAAGAAGACATTTTGTTAAATTATAATAATAAAAAAAATATATTACAAATTTCCAAAAAAAAAAACATGCTAAATTGTTTAAAAAAATATATTCATCAAAAACTCATACATAAATGTGCAATATTGAAAATTGTAGAAAAAAATGAAACCGTATATAAAAGCATAAAAGCACAAGGACAGTTTTAATAAAAAATTTTATAAAATATGTTACTTTTTTCATGACAAAACAATACTTTAAATTTGAAATGTAAGTATTTCAAAATCTTAGCAAAAACAACTTTACCCAATAATAAAGATTTTCAACATGAATTTTCAATAACATATTATAAAACAGACAAGACAATAATAATAATTAATATAATAGAAATGTATGAAGAAGAATGTCAAAAAAATTCTAATTAAAAATAGCGAATAAAAAAACGAAATTATATCACTTTATGTGATATAAAAAAAAAAAATAAATGACGTTTATAAAACAACAAATGCTAATTGAAATGACAAAAGGAAAAATGTTTGGTATTTTTAGATTATTATTATTTTTTTTTTTTTTTAAAGAAAATGCTAAGCTACCTGGTTACTTTCTCTTGAGACCATTGTTTACTTATTATAGAACCTGAGCCTCGATGGCCACGATCAAACGAAGGAGCCTTTATACGTATTTCTGGTAGAGGCTCCGATTTGCGTCTATTATTAAATGTAGTATTAGAAACACAAAAGCCATAAGCGAACACCAATAATTTCAGAATTAAATACATAAGTTTTTTTTGTACTCAAACAAATAAATAATATAAATAAAAAAACATATAAACATAAGAATGAGTGTTTCTTTTTTTCGCTGTCGTGTTTTTTTATACAAATGATACATTTAAATTAAAAGCGTTTAGGATTATACAAAAAATATTTATTATTATTTATTATATGGGAGAAATTAACACAGATCAAATTCGAGAACGTCGTTATAGCAATTTAGAATATCTGACTAGAATTCTGCAAGATAAATTTTAACTACCTTTTGAAGAATCAATCAATCAATCAATCAATCAATCAATCTATCAATCTATCAATATATCAATATATCAATCTATCAATCTATCAATCTATCAATCTATCAATCTATCAATCTATCTATCTATCTATCTATCTATCTATCTATCTATCTATCTATCTATCTATCTATCTATCTATCTATCTATCTATCTATCTATCTATCTATCTATCTATCTATCTATCTATCTATCTATCTATCTATCTATCTATATATCTATCTATCTATCTATCTATCTATCTATCTATCTATCTATCTATCTATCTATCTATCTATCTATCTATCTATCTATCTATCTATCTATCTATCTATCTATCTATATATCTATCTATCTATCTATCTATCTATCTATCTATCTATCTATCTATCTATCTATCTATCTATCTATCTATCTATCTATCTATCTATCTATCTATCAATCTATCTATCTATCTATCTATCTATCTATCTATCTATCTATCTATCTATCTATCTATCTATCTATCTATCTATCTATCTATCTATCTATCTATCTATCTATCTATCTATCTATCTATCTATCTATCTATCTATCTATCTATCTATCTATCTATCTATCTATCTATCTATCTGTCTGTCTATCTATCTATCTATCTATCTATCTATCTATCTATCTATCTATCTATCTATCTATCTATCCATCTATTTATCTATCTATCTATCTATCTATCTATCTATCTATCTATCTATCTATCTATCTATCTATCTATCTATCTATCTATCTATCTATCTATCTATCTATCTATCTATCTATCTGTCTATCTGTCTATCTATCTATCTATCTATCTATCTATCTATCTATCTATCTATCTATCTATCTATCTATCTATCTATCTATCTATCTATCTATATATCTATCTATCTATCTATCTATCTATCTATCTATCTATCTATCTATCTATCTATCTATCTATCTATCTATCTATCTATCTATCTATCTATCTATCTATCTATCTATCTATCTATCTATCTATCTATCTATCTATCTATCTATCTATCTATCTATCTATCTATCTATCTATCTATCTATCTATCTATCTATCTATCTATCTATCTATCTATCTATCTATCTATCAATCTATCTATCTATCTATCTATCTATCTATCTATCTATCTACCTATCTATCTATCTATCTATCTATCTATCTATCTATCTATCTATCTATCTATCTATCTATCTATCTATCTATCTATCTATCTATCTATCTATCTATCTATCTATCTATCTATCTATCTATCTATCTATCTATCTATCTATCTATCTATCTATCTATCTATCTATCTATCTATCTATCTATCTATCTATCTACCTATCTATCTATCTATCTATCTATCTATCTATCTATCTATCTATCTATTTATCTATGTATTCATCTAATCATTTGATCTGTGTTATTTTCTCTTTAAACTTAACAAAAACAAAAATATGTTTAGGCTAAACATAAAACAAATATTTGTTAGAAATGAGATAAAAATTTTCGTATACAAATAACATTTAAAGTAATAATAATATTAATAATTATAAACTTAAGCACAATTTTTTATACAAAATAAAAATAAATAAATAAATTATTTTGAAAAAACTTACCCTCGCATAATTTTACTATTACGATCCGCAATACTTTCTTTGCTTCTATAATAAAAAGTTGAATATGAAAAAAATTTTGAAAAATGTAATTGGTAATAGTTTTTTTTATGTTGATATTTTTTTGTTAGTTTTAGAATTTTAGAAAATTATAAAGACAAAAGAAATTAGTTTTAGATTTTTTTTGTTATAAGAAATAAGAAATTAAATAAAGTAAAAGATTTCAATTAATTTTTTTTGTTTGTTTACCTAGCATCAACGACATCTAATGAAACTATGGCTTCATCGTTATACTGTTGTATATCGGATGATGATTGTATGGTGGAGGTGGTGGCTGTGGTAGGTAGTGGAGGTTGTGATGTTGGCAGTGGTGGTAGTGGTAGTTGTGGATTTGGTGATTGCATAGGTTCATAAGTATTGTGATTGTTTTGTGGCGGTTCTTGTATGTTTGTAATATTATTAAGTGCATTATTTGAATTCCGTTTAGATGATGTTGAAGGAGCGGCGGCATCTTCACTTTCATCACTACTCATCGGTCACACAAAATTTAATCAATCAATTCAATTCAATCAAAAACAAAATCCATACAAACAATAAAAAAATACAAATAAAAAGAGAAACGTAAACAATTTTGCGTAACAGAAAAATTATCATCGAAAAGTTTATAAATCAAAATTTTGTATCATTTTTTTTTTTATATAAAAATTATAATAATTTTATAAAAAATGATTTGAAATTTAATGTTGATTTTGTTTAATGTGTTTGATGGTGTTGAATTTTGTTTTTTTTTTATTTTTTATTTGTTGGTGATTGGTGAGGGCGGGTTGAGCAAATTATAAAGGTAGCAAGTAAATTATAAATATGCAAGAAAAATATAAAATAAATAAATATTATATTAATCAAATAATAAAATAAATCATAAATTTTATAACTATGAATAAACATTTTAAAATTGGTATCTATAACGGATATAATTTAATAAAAATCACTAATGGTATGCAACACAAACTCAATTCAAACTCTTACAATTTTGCTTTTTTCAATATTTTACTGTATGAACCCTGCATAAGTTTAGAAAAATTTATGTAATTATGTATCTGGGCATAGGTATTAATGATAATTTTGACGTAAAACGTGGTCTGTCTAATACATATTAGCATCTGAATAAGATATTCCTATTTCAAACGTAAACGAAAGACTACTTCAATATCGTTCGATCCATGTTTAGACCGATTAGAATACATATTTTGAAATGCTTTTGGCCATAGTCTGGACTATATGAAGTAGACTATAGATAAGACAGTAAACTAGCCTATAGTCCAACATATTGACTAGGATATAGTCTAGTCTATAGACTAGACTATACTATAGACTAGACAATAGACTAGACTATAGACTAGACAATAGACTAGACTATATACTAGGCTATAGACTAGACTATAGACTAGACTATAGACTAGACTATAGACTAGACTATAGACTAGACTATGGACTAGACTATAGACTAGACTATGGACTAGACTATGGACTAGACTATAGACTAGACTATAGACTAGACTATAGACTAGACTATAGACTAGACTATAGACTAGACTATAGACTAGACTATAGACTAGACTATAGACTAGACTATAGACTAGACTATAGACTAGACTATAGACTAGACTATAGACTAGACTATAGACTAGACTATAGACTAGACTATAGACTAGACTATAGACTAGACTATAGACTAGACTATAGACTAGACTATAGACTAGACTATAGACTAGACTATAGACTAGACTATAGACTAGACTATAGACTAGACTATAGACTAGACTATAGACTAGACTATAGACTAGACTATAGACTAGACTATTGACTAGACTATAGACTAGACTATAGACTAGACTATAGACTAGACTATAGACTAGACTATAGACTAGACTATAGACTAGACTATAGACTAGACTATAGACTAGACTATAGACTAGACTATAGACTAGACTATAGACTAGACTATAGACTAGACTATAACTAGACTATAGACTAGACTATAGACTAGACTATAGACTAGACTATAGACTAGACTATAGACTAGACTATAGACTAGACTATAGACTAGACTATAGACTAGAATAGACTAGACTATAAACTAGACTATCGACTAGACTATAGACTAGACTATAGACTAGACTATAGACTGGACTATAGACTAGACTATAGACTAGACTATAGACTGGACTATAGACTAGACTATAGACTAGACTATAGACTAGACTATAGACTAGACTATAGACTAGACTATAGACTAGACTATTGACTAGACTATTGACTAGACTATTGACTAGACTATTGACTACACTATAGACTAGACTAAAAACAGGACTATAAACCAGACTATAGTCTGAACTCTAGACTATTGCTTAAAATATAGACTAGACTAATGTCTCGACCATAGACTAGACTATCGATTAAAATCTGTACTATAGGCTATAGTTTCGACTATAAGACTTACATCAAGACTGTAGCCTGGACTACAAACTAGTACATACTTAGTCTAAACTCTATAGATTAGAATATAATCAGGACTAAACAATAGACTAAGCATTTTTAAAATTATTTTGTAATAATTGTGTTGCGCAATTAAAATGTGAAATAATAATAATAATGTTTGACTTCAGAGTAGAAGAAAAACATGAAACCATTTAGGTTTTGAAAAGTAACTGAAATTTAAATATAAACAAAATGACGACCTTAAAGTTGTTTATATTGAAATATATGTATGTAACTTTAAAAACTTAACAAAATCATAATAGAAAAAAAAATAATTAAAATTAGATTAAGAAACATATAAATTAATAACTAACTATAAACTAATTTAAAAATAAAAACCAAAACAAAAAACAAATAATAATGCAATAGATATTTACGATTTCAATACATACTTATTAATTTTAGTTTCTTTCAAATTATATTAAAATTGAAACAATACCTAAATAAATGAAAATAAATACCTGGCAAATAATGATGCTGCATTTTTAGCAATGAAACGTCCTTTAAACATGTTACACATATTATTCGATTCCTTAAGAGCTTTCTTTTCCTCCGCTAAAATCTTATTCACATAACGATAATTGCGTGAAAAACGATTTAAACGTATGGTTAAAGAAACTAAAAAGGCTTCCATTAAACGTATAATAGGATTTGCTTGGAAATCTGTTAGAAATATCATTCAAATATTAAAGAATATAGAAAATTTTTTATACAATTGTTTATTAAAACCTACCAGCATCAGAATCATCGCCAGTATCACCGCTATCCACTTCGGTTTTCTGTTTTGCTTCACTGGTATGTGCTCTCGAAGGTATTTCTCCAGCCTTGCTAGTTGAAGGACCCATATCGGTTTGACCATCTTTAATATTTTTAGGTTTTTGACTCTCCTTTAAAAAAGAAAAAAAATTTGGAATGGTTTTTAATTAGTAATGATTACAAGTAAATAACTATAAGTAAAAACATTTTATTTAGTGCCATTTATAATATTTTTCAAAACTAATTTATTGATATTCAGTTTCTAGATTTAACCCATTTTGTTTTGGAAGAAAAAATATCAAAAACTAATCATATTTATTTAAAAACACAAATTTCATTTCGTATTGTGGAATCCCGATTTTAATTTAATATTGATTATAGACTAAATTACAATCTGGACTATAGACTAGACTAAAGTCTGGACTATATACTAAACCACAGCCTGGACTATAGACTAGACTGTAGTCTGGACTAAAGACTAGACTGCAGACTGGACTATATACTAGACTATAATCTGGACTATAGACTAGATTATAATCTGTCCTATAGACTGGACTATAGTCTGGACTATTTACTAGACTGTAGTCCGGACTATAGACTAGGTTGTAGTCTGGACTATATACTAGACTATAATCTGGACTATAGACTAGATTACAAGCTGGTCTATAGACTGGACTATAGACTATACTATAGTCTAGACTATAGAACTGTAGTCTATAGACTGCAGTCTTGACTATAGATTAATCTATAGCCTAGACTATAGACTAGACTGTAGTCTGGACTATAGTCTGGAGTATAGACTAGATTATAATCTGTACTATAGACTAGTCTATAGTCTGGACTATAGACTAGACTATGGTCTGTACTATAGACTAGATAATAGTCTGGACTTTAGACTAGACTATAGTCTGGACTATAGACTAGACTATAGTCTGGACTATAGACTAGACTATAGTCTGAACTATAGGCTAGACTATAGTTTGGACTATAGACTAGACTATAGTCTGGACTATAGACTAGACTATAGTCTGGACTATAGACTAGACTATAGTCTGGACTATAGACTAGACTATAGTCTGGACTATAGACTAGACTATAGTCTGGGCTATAGACTAGACTACAGTCTGGACTATAGACTAGACTATAGTCTGGACTATAGACTAGACTATAGTCTGTACTATAGACTAGACTATAGTCTGGACTATAAACTAGACTATAGTCTGGACTATAGACTAGACTATAGTCTGGACTATGGACTTGACTATAGTCTGGACTATGGATTTGACTATAGTCTGGACTATGGACTAGACTATAGTCTGGACTATAGACTAGACTATAGTCTGGACTATAGACTAGACTACAGTCTGGACTATAGACTAGACTATAGTCTGGACTATAGACTAGACTATAGTCTGGACTATAGACTAGACTATAGTCTGGACTATAGACTAGACTATAGTCTGGACTATAGACTAGACTATAGTCTGGACTATAGACTAGACTATAGTCTGGACTATAGACTAGACTATAGTCTGGACTATAGACTAGACTATAGTCTGGACTATAGACTAGACTATAGTCTGGACTATAGACTAGACTATAGTCTGGACTATAGACTAGAGTATAGTCTGGACTATAGGCTAGACTATAGGCTAGACTATAGTCTGGACTATAGGCTAGACTATAGTCTGGACTATAGTCTGGACTATAGGCTAGACTATAGTCTGGACTATAGACTAGACTATAGTCTAGACTATAGACTAAACTATAGTCTGGACTAAAGTCTAGTCTATAGTCTATAAACTAAACAGACTATAGACTATAAACTATAATCTGGACTATAGACTAGACTATAGTCTGGACTATAGACTAGACTATAGTCTGGACTATAGACTAGACTATAGTCTGGACTATAGACTAGACTATAGTCTGGACTATAGACTAGACTATAGACTGGACTATAGACTAGACTATAGTCTGGACTATAGACTAGACTATAGTCCGGACTATAGACTAGACTATAGTCTGGACTATAGACTAGACTATAGTCTGGACTATAGACTAGACTATAGTCTGGACTATAGACTAGACTATATTCTTGACTATAGACTGGACTATAGTCTGGACTATAGACTAGACTATAGTCTGGACTATAGACTAGAGTATAGTCTGGACTATAGGCTAGACTATAGGCTAGACTATAGTCTGGACTATAGGCTAGACTATAGTCTGGACTATAGACTAGACTATAGTCTGGACTATAGACTAAACTATAGTCTGGACTAAAGTCTAGTCTATAGTCTATAAACTAAACAGACTATAGACTATAAACTATAATCTGGACTATAGACTAAACTATAGTCTGGACTATAGACTAAACTATAGTCTGGACTACAGACTAAACTATAGTCTGGACTATAGACTCAACTATATTCTGGACTATAGACTAAACAATAGTCTGGACTATAGACTGAACTATAGTCTGGACTATAGATTAGACTATAGTCTAGACTGTAGTCTGCTTATAGATTACACTATAGTCTTGATTATAGACTATAGTCTTGACTACAGATTAAACTGTAGTCTAAACTATAGTTTGGTCTACAGGGTCTGAGCTAAATACTAGACTATAGTGTTGAATATAGACTGGACTATAGTCTGGTATATGGACAAGACTATATTCTGGACTATATACTATAGTGTGGAGCATAGGTCAGACTACACTTCTGACTATAATGTAGGCCATAGATTGGTCTTAAGACTAGCTTATAGTATGAACTATTTCGCAAATTCAGCCTAATCTGAAACAAAGTAGATTACATATTGATGATTTGCCATTACAACTCATACATCAAATCAAACTTTTAAATTCAATAGCCAGACACTGAACTACATTTAAGAAAGTTTTAAGCAGTTTTTTAGAAGACATAAACTACTAATAGGAGCCTAAATAGCTTTATTCTTTAATATTAAATTGATTCTAACTTATATTCAAAATGGGTTAAACTTTACAGAAAAATATTACATTTAACATATTTCAATATAAATATATATATATTTGTATATACATTAATAAGTACTTATAACAACAATTATTCAAAAAAGGGGCTTATTATAATCTAGCCATTTAGTTATAACTTCAATTCTGTTTGAATTTCTTTTTATAAACAAAAATTATATAAAAAATCAAATAATTTTGGGGTGTTATTCAAAAAGTGTTTTTATAAAAAAAAAAAAAAAAGTTTTAGAATTGTGTAAAAGTGTGAAAGAAAACATTATTAAAAGTGTTCCTTTACATCGATAAACATAATGTATTCAAAGAAAAATTCGAAAAACTATCGAAATTAAACAGAAAAAAAAACTCACAAAATATTCACTGGTCGAACGTTGAGCGTAACATAAAGGTTCGGATAAAGTTGAAATACGATTACGATTACCTACACCCGCATCTATATCGTCAGCGGTTTGATGATCATCAAACAATAAACCAATATGAGATGGTGGTGCGGAGGCATAAGAACGTTGTCTTAAGTAAATCTGACGACGATATTGAACACTACTAATATCCTTCCAAACCTTTTGTTTTATTATTCACAACATACAAAATTTGTTGTATGTAAAAAATTTTGCATTTGAGATTTTTTTTTTTTTAATTTAAAACAATTATCCAATGCATGCAGAAATTTTTGAAATTATTTTTAAGTTTTTAGATATTTTTTTTTTTTTTTTGTAATACGAAATTAAAAAATATATTTCAATTTAGACAAATCACAATAGAGTTTATATATATATTTTTTTTAATTTATTAGTTTAAAATTTTGAAATAATACTTACATCATATAAAGTTTTGCGACGACTCATTTTAATTTCACTATCGGTTATATTTTCATTGTCTGTATCGAATAAGCCTTCAGAATCGGTTATAACTTCTAATTCGAATTTATCATCAACATCTTCAAACATATAGTAGTCTCCCGCACGTACAGCTATATATTTTTAAGAAATGTATTATTATATTAATTTTAATTTTCTTTTACAATATTAAACATACATATAAAACATCTATATTTACAAAGAAAAAAAATATAAATTACATTTGTATTAATTAATAAAAAATAAATAAAGAAAATTAAAAGAATCAAGTTTATATAGATACTATGTACATAGTAGTAAGTTGATATTTATGAGTAGTATTACTTTATTGTTGTATGTTTGACTATAGGCTTCCCGATTTTTTGTTTTGTTTATTAATTGATGTATAATTTTAATAATTTCAATGCCACATACACTTATTTGACTTTTTTTTTATAAATTTGAAGTACATACTTGCTTTTTTATAAAATTTAAAAAATAAATGTTGTATATAATCATGATTTAGATCGGTATTGTTATCTAGAAAAATGTATATATGTAGATGATTTAAAATATAATGAAAAAAAATAAAAATAATTTCATAAAATGTATTTAAATTTATAATACAGACTACAGTCTTGATTATAGTCTAGATTACAATCTTGCTTATAACCTAGTCATAGACTAAACTATAGTCTGGACTATAGACTAAACTATAGTCTGGACTATTGACTAAACTATAGTCTGGACTATTGACTAAACTATAGTCTGGATTACACATTATCTATAGTCTGGACTATAGACTAATCTATAGTCTGGACTTTAGAATAATCTATAGTCTGGACTATTGACTAAACTATAGTCTGGATTACAGATTAACTACAGTCTGAACTATATACTAATCTATAGTCTGGACTATAGATTAGTCTATAGTCCAGACTATAGACTAATCTATAGTCTGGACTATAGACTAATCTATAGTCTGGACTATAGACTAATCTATAGTCTGGACTATAGACTAATCTATAGTCTGGACTATAGACTAATCTATAGTCTGGACTATAGACTAATCTATAGTCTGGACTATAGACTAAACTATAGTCTGGACTATAGACTAATCTATAGTCTAGACTATAGACTAATCTATAGTCTGGACTATAGACTAATCTATAGTCTGGACTATAGACTAATCTATAGTCTGGACTATAGACTAATCGATAGTCTAGACTATAGACTAATCTATAGTATGGACTATAGACTAAACTAAAGTCTGGACTATAGACTAATCAATAGTCTGGACTATAGACTAATCTATAGTCTGGACTATAGACTAATCTATAGTCTGGACTATAGACTAATCTATAGTCTGGACTATATACTAATCTATAATCTGGACTATAGACTAATCTATAGTCTGGACTATAGACTAATCTATAGTCTGGACTATAGACTAATCTATAGTCTGGACTATAGACTAATCTATAGTCTGGACTATAGACTAAACTAAAGTCTGGACTATAGACTAAATTATAGTCTGGACTATAGACTAAACTAAAGTCTTGAGTATAGACCAAACTGTAGTCTGGATTATAGACTAAACTATAGTCTGGATTATAGACCAAACTATAGTCTGGACTATAGACTAAACTATGGTCTGGACTATAGACTAATCTATAGTATGGACTATAGACTAATCTATAGTCTGGACTATAGGCAAATCTATAGTCTGGACTATAGACTAATCTATAGTATGGACTATAGACTAATCTATAGTATGGACTATAGACTAAACCAAAATCTGGACTATAGAATAAACTATAGTCTGGACTATAGACTAAACTAAAATCTGGACTATAGACTAAGCTATAGTCTGGACTATAGGCTAAACTATAGTCTGGACTATAGACTAATCTATAGTCTGGACTATAGGCAAATCTATAGTCTGGACTATAGACTAATCTATAGTATGGACTATAGACTAATCTATAGTATGGACTATAGACTAAACAAATATCTGGACTATAGAATAAACTATAGTCTGGACTATAGACTAAACTAAAATCTGGACTATAGACTAAACTATAGTCTGGACTATAGGCTAAACTATAGTCTGGACTACAGGCTAAACTATAGTCTGGACTATAGACTAAACTATAGTCTGGACTATAGACTAAACTATAGTCTGGACTATAGACTAAACTATAGTCTGGACTATAGACTAAAATGTAGTCTGGATTATAGACTAAGCTATAGTATGGATTATAGACTAAACTATAGTATGGACTATAGAGTAGAGTCTTCAAAGTATACTAGACTATAGTCTGGTCTGTAGAATAGATTATAGTCCCGGCTATATACTATATTATTGTCTCGGCTATAGCCTATAGTCTGGGCTATATCACGGACAATGCTCTAGGCTATAATGTGGACTACAGACCACTAATGTGGTTATAGCCCGGTAGTTTTGACTATAGATTATAATATATGACTATAGATTATAATATATAATACTATATTATAATCTATATTACAGCATAGACAATATATAGTCTTGATTATGGACTAGATTAAAGTCTTAATTATATACTAAACTATAGTTTTGATTATAACCTAGACTATAGTCATGACTACAGACTAAATTATAGTCATGTTTGAGACGCTATAATAACGCTAAGACAACTTAATTAAAAAAAGTTTAAAGTTTTTTATAGTCTGGTCTATAGACTAAATTATAGTCTATAGTAGTTTTGATTAAAGATTGGAATATAGTATATATATAGTCTTAATAACTAATAATACTAGATTAAAGTCTCGGCTATAGCCTATAGTCTGGAATAGAGTATATTCTAGACTATAATGTAGACTATATACTGAAAAAGTTTGAGAAATGGTATCTTAAACTGAACTTGAATTTTGGAGCCACCCTAAGATACATTATAAATTGTTGGCTTTTATTGTTGAAATTAATTCTATGGAAGCGTTATAAAGTCGTTATTCTTTCCAAAATTGCAAACTTTTTGGAGAAGCTTTAAAGAACCTTTAAAAAGCTACAAATATTTAAAAATAAATTGTGAAATGTATAAAACTAATCTTAAGCATAATAAAAAATAAAAACTCATGCTAAATACAATTACGACTTAATAAGGAATTATACAAGACAAAATAAACTCTAGGAAAGAAAAATAAATTTTAAAAAATACTTAAAGAAAAGGACGGCAATAGTATTTTTTTTCTATAGAATACATGCTTATAAATGCTTAATAAGTTTGTGCTTAAAATTATATAAACTACAAAATAAAAAACTTAAACATAAACAAATAATAATCATTTAAAAAATTACCCTGTGGATGCAGTTTAATTTCTTTCCTTTTATGAGGTCTTGAGCCATAAACGGGATTTCCATGTTCTATAACAAATTAAACCAAAAAAATAAAAGCAAAATATAAAATAAAAAAATTAAAAATGAAAGCAAAATTAAAAAAAATATATATAAAAATGTTGTATATAATAAAGCGGAATAAGAAAGAAATTTGAAATCTTGGATTAGTTTTAAGATCCAGTGTTTTGAAAACTAAAAAAAAAAATTAACTAAATTTCTTGGTAGAAAAACTAACATATAGAGAAAAAATTTTAAAAGAAACTTAATTTAAGGCATTCCTTAAAATGTTTTTTTTTATACACAAGTTTTGTTAAGTTTAAAAAACTCTTTTTAAAGACTTTTAGTAATTTTAGAATTTTTGAAAAGATTTTTTAAGAAAATTTTATTAGTTTATTAGAAAAAAATATTGTTAAAGGCCAATTAGTGTTATTTACAATTAAAAAATATGTGTTGTAGTTTTTTTTTATAAATAAAGTTTATTAAAGTTTATTTTACAAAAATTTTTTATAAAAAAATTATTTAAAAAAAATAGTAGAGAAAATAAAAAATACATTGTCCATGCAAACGTAGATCACAGCAGGCATTCGCGTATAGCATAGAAGTATCCGTGGCAAATAAATCCGTACCAACGGGACCCCAACTATTAGGTCTTTTAGAATAACGCATTAAGGCTTCCTCATGAGCCCAAGACAAATTACTTAAACGTCTCTTGGCATCTAAATGTTTTTGTGGGTTGTTGTCTTCTAGAGAATATTTGGCATTGCCAACACTTTGATGACGTCGATGTAATAATCTCTTGCGCATAGTAACATGTAATTCTTCGGGTTTCGGCGGCAGCGGTTTACTAGGTGTAGAACATTTTACCGAAACGGTATCATTCCAAGACACAGCATTTACCGAAGATTGTCTACGATGACGTGTACTTAAAGATGGTCTACGTTCATTTGTTATATTGGAAGATATAATAGAACCATTAGGACTTTTAGCTACATCGGCTAATAGATTGCGTGCCGATAATAATAGAGGCGAGGGTCTAGGTTGTTGTGGTTGATTATTCTAAGAAAAAATTTGGTATTTTAATTAAGTTTCGTTTTCATTGAATCCTTTTTAGTGTTTTTATTGTTTTTGATAAATTACCGCATAAAATACTTCATTTGATCCTTCGGAAATATCATATTTCGGTTGAGATAAATCGGAGGGCGTATGTGAATATATGGATAAACGTGGAGCTTCTAAGAATCCTTCCAAGTTGATTGTGGGTACATCCGATGTGGGTGTTAAAGGCTTTAGTTTATTTTATTGATTAAACAGTATTACTTTTTTTGTATAAATTTTTATATAAATTTTATAAAATACCTGTGTATTTGGTTCGATTTCAATTTCTGGCAGATTTCTAAATTGTTTTATATGCTTATTGTGATTATCGCCATAATCACTTATCGATTTAATATCGGCATATTGGGTGTTTATATAGATTTTACTTAAATCCTCTTCAGAGCCATTATTACTACTACAACTTGTTATACTTGCTGTACTGGCCGTATTAATATGTTCATCATCTGGCGTTTGATAGCCAGAACCTTGACAGGATATAAAACTGTTGCAGTGGGCTAGTGGGGCTAGTTTTAAGGCTGCTTCTTTGTTGACTAATTATACATATATATTGGTATTATTTTTTTCACTTTTTTCTTAAAATTTTAAACAATTTCCACTCAAAAATTTTTGGGAAAATGTTACGAAAAAAAACGCGTAGTTAAAACAAAACAAAACAAGTAAGAGTGTTATATTCGGCTATGCCGAATCTTATATACCCACCATCAAACCTCGTTTGACTAGAATGAAACTTACTGATGTCGAATTTCATCTATATACTCGTATTTGTTAGGCCAGTTATAAGCGTTAAAGTAATCTTCTGAAGGGGACCTTATATAGGGGGTAGGGTCAATTATGGGTCGATCCTAATATAATTTGGTAGACAGAATTTGGTTCGTATTAAATTTATTTGTGTCGAATTTCATCGCTACACTCGTATTTTTAAGCCATTAATGAGCGTTGGGGTAGGGTCAATCATGGACCGATCCTCATAAAATTTTTTAGATAGATTTTGACTCGTATGAAACTTACTTATATCGAATTTCATCTATATACTAGTATTTTTAAGACAGTAATGAACGTTAAAGTCATTTTCTGAAGGGGGCCTTATATGGGGGGTAGGGTCAATTATGGACCGATCCTCATAAAATTTTGCATAATGATTTTGGATCATAAGAAACTTACTTATGTCGAATTTTATCGCTATATTCGTATTTTTAAACAAGTTATGTCTGTTAAAGCTGCTTTTCGAGGGGCCACTTGTATGGGGGCTATCAGAAAATGTGGACCGATATTGCCCATTTTCAATACCAAACAAACCTTACCTGTAAGAAATATTTATGTGAAATTTCAACCCTCTAGCTCTTTCCATTGGGACTCTATCGTGCTTTCAACAGACAGACAGACAGACAGACAGACAGGCGGACGGACGGACAGACATGGCTAGATCGACTTAGAATTTAATGAGGACCCAGAATATATATACTTTTGTGGGTCTATGACCAATATTTCGATGTGTTACAAACGGAATGACAAAATCAATATACCCCCCATCTTTTTTGATGGTGGTTATAAAAAGAAAAACAGAAACCTTCAAATCTTTTGCCGTTTTTTGATTTGATCGAAAAAGCCTTCATATACCCCAAAACTGTTCAAAATTTTTAGTTTAACTTTATATTGAAAGTTTTCATACAAAAATCCTTAAACTGACATTATAACGCTACTAAAAATGATATCAGTCTTTGAGTTATTGCTTATGTTTGTTAAACAAATACAAAACAAAATGTCTGCCTAATAAAGTTTTACTTTTATGATTATTTTAATATAAAACCTAATTTCAAACTAATATAAAACATTGGAAAACCTTTTAACTTACCATCGAAATGTGTGGGTTTCTCTAAAGGTCTTAGCATTTTCTGTTGTGTAGCTCTTATTTTTTCCATTTTACGTTTGATTTTATGTAAAACTTCTTCCTCATAATCTTGACGTTTTTCAATTTGTTTTTGTCTCAAACGTTCAATAATTTCCGCTCCTCTGTAAAGCAAAACAAAGTGAAAAAAAAAAAAAAAACAATTTAAAATAAATCAACGTTAATGATAACCTAACAATTTACCTGGAGGCTAAAATATTATTAGCTCTTGTATCCGTTATAATATGACAGAAATAATGTGATTTAAATATTCTCAATTGGAAGATAAGGAAAGCAAAACAAATGGCATCCCATAATAAAACTGATTGTACGGTAATGGCAGGACACTCATTTGCAGGATCTCCTGCTAAATCTGACATAACATCTTTGCTGCTACAACTAATGCCCAGCAAATGGACAGCCCAACAGCATTTCATTTGTAATGTATCCATAAACAAACAACCCACCATTTGTAAACTAGTCTTTATAACAATATTCGCCACATTATAAGCCAACAGCCATTTCCAGCGTGTGGTTATGGAACGTATGGGTCGTAGATAGAAATCAGAACCCTCCCACAGGAACATAAATGCACCAATTAAATAGCCAATGGCTAAAAAGTCCGATATATTTGTACCGGCCAAGAACACAACCGCTAAAGTGACCCAATAAAAGCCACAAAGTACAGCATGCTTAAAGATGTCCAAATAGTTGCGTATATGAGAAAGGAAATCATGTGTGGGATTTTCAAATTCAACTTTGCCCAAATTTGCAATATCTTTCAAAACCGATTTATTGCTGCCACCCGGATAGTCAGCGATATTTTCCAAAGTGAATACACGTTTCTGGCGATTCACCAACAGCAGCAGGACAAAATCAAAAATTAATTTTTTTGTATGATCATAGTGAAGATCACCGGGTAGCATGGCCCAACGTTGTAAAGCTTCGGAGTATTTGGTATTAACCCAAACATATTCTAAAAAATAAAAGTAAAAACCAAATATGTGCCAAATAAATATGTTTGATTATCTAATACTTTAATATTTTACTCACCAACACACATTGAAGGAGGTAATTCCACTAGCAGCACATATTGCACTAGAATCGACGACAAAATGAACACTTGTAAAACGCCCCATATATGAGCATTCTTTTTTCGCTTAAACAGCAATAATAGAATCAACCACACTGAATAGGCCACCGCTACAATATCTTGTCTATAGGTTATTGTTGAGACCAATGCCACCAAACAGGTTTCATAGCCAAATTTATAGAAACCATAATTTAATAAATATTTAATCATTCCCTCCAATTTCTTTTCGGCATCTTCTCTTCCAATACCCGGAAATGCTACCTTTGGCAGGGGATCATTTTGAATGCCCTTTAAGCGTCGCATTTGATATTGTCTTAGAGCTATAACAGCGTGCAGAGTTGCAATGACCATATAAATAATGTATCTCTTGAGAAGACCCATTAAACCGAACTCGGGACTTGCTTTATAGAGACCAAACCATTCGGCGTTGTTACCCTTATATTGACCGTCTTCACCACTGGGGCATTTGTAGTCATATTTGGCATGATTTAGGTAAGCGATTTGATAAATCATTTTCGATAACACAATAATGGTGACAACCAGAGAGATAAGACGACTGAAGAAGAAATTCATGCGTACATTAGAAACGACACCTACGACACAGAGGGCTACGAAAGGTACATGAAGAAGGGATACCTGAAAGGAAAATGTTATATTATTTAGACTATAATCAATACCAGTGGCTACAATATAGGTGATACTATAGACTAGACTATAGACCAGACTATAGACTAGACTATAGACTAGACTATAGACTAGACTATAGATTAGACTATAGACTAGACTATAGACTAGACTATAGACTAGACTATAGATTAGACTATAGACTAGACTATAGACTAGACTATAGACTAGACTATAGACTAGACTATAGACTAGACTATAGACTAGACTATAGACTAGACTATAGACTAGACTATAAACTAGACTATAGACTAGACTATAGACTAGACTATAGACTAGACTATAGACTAGACTATAGACTAGACTATAGACTAGACTATAGACTAGACTATAGACTAGACTATAGACTAGACTATAGACTAGACTATAGACTAGACTATAGACTAGACTATAGACTAGACTATAGACTAGACTATAGACTAGACTATAGACTAGACTATAGACTAGACTATAGACTAGACTATAGACTAGACTATAGACTAGACTATAGACTAGACTATAGACTAGACTATAGACTAGACTATAGACTAGACTATAGACTAGACTATAGACTAGACTATAGACTAGACTATAGACTAGACTATAGACTAGACTATACTAGACTATAGACTAGACTATAGACTAGACTATAGACTAGACTATAGACTAGACTATAGACTAGACTATAGACTAGACTATAGACTAGACTATAGACTAGACTATAGACTAGACTATAGACTAGACTATAGACTAGACTATAGACTAGACTATAGACTAGACTATAGACTAGACTATAGACTAGACTATAAACTAGACTATAGACTAGACGATAGACTAGACTATAGACTTGACTATAGACTAGACTAGACTAGACTAGACTAGACTAGACTAGACTAGACTAGACTAGACTAGACTAGACTAGACTAGACTAGACTATAGACTAGACTAGACTAGACTATAACCTAGACTAGACTAGACTATAGACTATAGACTACAGACTATAGACTAGACTATAGACTAGACTATAGACTAGACTATAGACTATAGACTAGACTATAGACTATAGACTAGACTATAGACTAGACTATAGACTAGACTATAGACTAGACTATAGACTAGACTATAGACTAGACTATAGACTAGACTATAGACTAGACTATAGACTAGACTATAGACTAGACTATAGACTAGACTATAGACTAGACTATAGACTAGACTATAGACTAGACTATAGACTAGACTATAGACTAGACTATAGACTAGACTATAGACTAGACTATAGACTAGACTATAGACTAGACTATAGACTAGACTATAGACCAGACTATAGACTAGACTATAGACCAGACTATAGACTAGACTATAGACTAGACTATAGACTAGACTATAGACTAGACTATAGACTAGACTATAGACTAGACTATAAACTAGACTATAGACTAGAGTATAGACTAGACTATAGACTAGACTATAGACTAGACTTAGACTAGACTATAGACTAGACTATAACCTAGACTATAGACTAGACTAGACTATAGACTAGACTATAGACTAGACTATAGACTAGACTATAGACTAGACTATAGACTAGACTATAGACTAGACTATAGACTAGACTATAGACTAGACTATAGACTAGACTATAGACTAGACTATAGACTAGACTATAGACTAGACTATAGACTAGACTATAGACTAGACTATAGACTAGACTATAGACTAGACTATAGACTAGACTATAGACTAGACTATAGACTAGACTATAGACTAGACTATAGACTAGACTATAGACTAGACTATAGACTAGACTATAGACTAGACTATAGACTAGACTATAGACTAGACTATAGACTAGACTATAGACTAGACTATAGACTAGGACTATAGACTAGACTATAGACTAGACTATAGACTAGACCTAGACTAGACTAGATATAGACTAGACTATAGTACTAGACTATAGACTAGACTTAAGACTAGACTATAGACTAGACTATAGACTAGGACTATAGACTAGACTATAGACTAGACTATAGACTAGACTATAGACCTAGACTATAGACTAGACTCCTAGACTAGACATAGACTAGACTATAGACTAGACTATAGACTAGACATAGACTAGACTATAGCTAGACTAGATAGACTAGACTAGAGACTAGACTATAGACTGACTATAGACAGACTATAGACTAGACTATAGACTAGACTATAACTAGACTAAGACAGACTATAGACTAGACTATAGACTAGACTTAGACTAGACTATAGACTAGACTATAGACTAACTATATACTAACTATAGCTGCACCTATAGACTAGACTATAGACTATAGACTAGACTATAGACTAGACTATAGACTAGACTATAGACTAGACTATAGACTAGACTATAGACTAGACTATAGACTAGACTATAGACTAGACTATAGACTAGACTATAGACTAGACTATAGACTAGACTATAGACTAGACTATAGACTAGACTATAGACTAGACTATAGACTAGACTATAGACTAGACTATAGACTAGACTATAGACTAGACTATAGACTAGACTATAGACTAGACTATAGACTAGACTATAGACTAGACTATAGACTAGACTATAGACTAGACTATAGACTAGACTATAGACTAGACTATAGACTAGACTATAGACTAGACTATAGACTAGACTATAGACTAGACTATAGACTAGACTATAGACTAGACTATAGACTAGACTATAGACTAGACTATAGACTAGACTATAGACTAGACTATAGACTAGACTATAGACTAGACTATAGACTAGACTATAGACTAGACTATAGACTAGACTATAGACTAGACTATAGACTAGACTATAGACTAGACTATAGACTAGACTATAGACTAGACTATAGACTAGACTATAGACTAGACTATAGACTAGACTATAGACTAGACTATAGACTAGACTATAGACTAGACTATAGACTAGACTATAGACTAGACTATAGACTAGACTATAGACTAGACTATAGATCAGACTATAGACTAGACTATAGACTAGACTATAGACTAGACTATAGACTAGACTATAGACTAGACTATAGACCAGACTATAGACTATAGTAGTTAATAATTAAGAACAAATTTCATATTTATTTAAAAAAAATAGAACTTACCTCACTAACAGCGCAAACAAATGCCGTTATATACACAACTTTAATCCAATGCAATTCTAATAGACGCCAAATGACACCCTTAAAATGCTTAAAGAATACTTCAGTCTTATGACGACAACGTTTCAAAAATAGTCTTATTAAATTGCCAGCAGATTCAACAAATTCCAAACCCTCCGATTCAGCAACACGAGAAGTAGTACGTGATTTATGTCTAACACGCTCTTCCGAGTCACGTTCAACCACTTCAGTAGGTTGATTCATAGACGCAATAAAACGTTTATGGAAATAATGAACTTGTATCACGGTTAAGATGACAATAATGGTGGGTGAGACTAAGTGCAAAAATAAATCTTTGGTTTTATAACGTTCCAAGCCGATATCGGTTTGTCTAGAGAAAAGCAAAATAATATTTAAATTTTGATATATATATAGTAACAAAATAAAGTTCACTCACAAAGTGGTGGAGATGTTTAGATATTGTTCCCAATATTTATCGAATTTATCAAATTGATAGGTGTAAATCAATATCAATATGGACATGGCATAAAAGATTAGGAATAACCAAAATCCATACATAAGTTTAACCCACGCCTTCGACGAAGACTGAAATACGAGCAGGAAAAATAGGAACAACGCCATATAGCATATACGAAAACCAGTCATTTTTTCACCAGTCATGGCGCATAAGAATATAACCAAAACCAATAGCCAGATCCATAATCTAACTAATAGATTCTTTATAACAATGCCCATTTTCTTCAGGAACTTGGAGGTCTTTTTACCACCAACTTGCCCTTGATCACCAATAGAGTGACCAACACTAAGTTGTAGCGGTGCAAAGATATCGGCCAGTGTACTGTCACGTCTCTTGTCAGTTTTTTCTTTGAAAAACTGTCTCAAGGTGACCCAAAACATAAGTAGGAATGAGGTTTTAACTATCAATGGTATGCACGGTTGCATACCATTCTCCTGAGGACGTTCAAAACCGATTTGTTTTAGATTAATGCCAGATATCTGGTGAGAATAGAATGTATTAAAAGAGAAACATAAATTTAATGATATTTTTAAAACTTTTACTTACATCTACTTTGGAAGGTAATTCATCATTATTGAGATCCATGCCATAGATATACTGAGCTATTAATAGTAATTCACCATAGATTACTATAAAAGGACTTGAACGCATCATGGCTTTGCGTTGATTTGGTATCATCCATAAAACATTGGCCCACAATAGTAAAACAAATGTTAGCCAACTGTGATAGACAATGGACCAGGCCTGTGAAGAGTAATTTTAATAAAAAAAATCTTTAAACTTGAGTCTGGTTATAGAAAATTATAGCTTTCTCCCCAGTTTGACTTTTGAGAATTCAAACGATTAGAAAAATAATTTAAATATTCCACTCACCATCATTAAAACATTTGTAAATATATAACTATTTTGATAGATAAATCCTCCAATACCGGTTATGCCATACCATATTTGATCGCATATACCGGATTTATATTCAACATCGGCAGATTGATTAGCATCCATGGAACTTAAAGGTATATTATCATTATTTGGTTGCTGTTGTTGTGGTGTTATACCACTATTATTGTCAGTTGTTGTAGTCGTTGTTTTACGTGTAGCCGAACGCATAAGCTATAATTTAGAAATTTTCGGAAATAATATTAAATGGCAATCGATTATAAATCAATGGTAGACAAAAACAAATAATGTTTGGACTGAATGTTTTACTTTAATTTTTACAAAAATGAAATTAAGAAAAATGTTAATGAAACACAAACTATAGTTTTAATTGTAATACGAAAATTAGTATTAAGTGAGAATAACATAAATTATAAATTAAATAATTATTACTTTAAAATAATAATAATATAGTGAAACATAAAATTTAATAGTTATTTAAGGGTGAAGTGTTTTAAGTAATTGCTAAATTTAAACTAATAGGGAACAAATAGCTTGTGGGATAAAATATTCGATCGATCGGTTATAATGTAAAAATTGCTTATCAACGAACAAAGCTATTAATTAATACTAAACATATAGTAGTAAAAATTTTCCGAACAAAAAGCTTTTTCAACATATAGCTATACATATATATATGGAGTTGTGTAAAACAAATACGAGAATCGAGGTCAATACAAAAACTTTTTCAAAATTTTAGGCCCGTTATCCAATAGCGACTTCTATGCTAATGACATTATAAATTTAAATACAAATGGCGCTACTATGTGAGCTAAAGTTTGCTTAATTTTTTTGGTTATAGCTCAGTTATATTGTGAACTATATAGCAGTTTATGCTCTTCACTTAAAATCTGTTTATAGTCTTGGCTATATACCAGTCAAATGTCTTGACTATAGATCAGTCTATTGTCTTTTCTGTTGTTCAAAATCTCCACTATAGATCGGTAAATAGTCTTGACTATAGACCAGTCAATAATCTTGACAATAGATCAGTCTATGTCTATAGATCAGTCAAAAATCGCGACTATAAGTCAGTCTATAGTATTGGCTATAAAACAGTCTGTAGTCTTTTCTATAGATCAGTTTACAGTCTTGACAATAGATCTGTCTATATTGTCTCCACTATAGATCATTCTTTAGTCCTAACTTTATATATCAGTTCATAGCCTTGCTTAGAGATCAGTCTTGACTATAAATTTGTGTAGACTATAGTTTTTACTATTGATCAGTCTGTAGTCTTGACTGTAGATGAGTCTTGACTATCGTTGAGTTTATAATTTTAACTATAAATCAGTCCATTTACACCATACTAATCTTTAAACGTTATCACTATAGATCTGTATAGTCTAAAGTCTTAACAATTGAACTTGAATATAATAATAAACCAGTCTATAACCAGGACTATAGATCAGTTTATAGTCATGATATACATTGATTAGTCTGTAGTCTTAACTGCCTTCAGTCTTTTCTATAGATCAGTGTATAATCCTGTTTGTTAGTCTACAATTTTGAATATAGACCAGTCTAGTTTTTTATGGATCTATCTACAGTCTTGAATATATGTCAGTTAATAACATTTAATATATACGTCTATAGTTTTAAATAGATACCGGTCTATAGCCTTTTCTAGAGATTACTCTATATACCTGACTTTAGTTTAGTATATAATCTTTGCTATGTATCAGTCTGTAGTACTATTTATAAATCACTCTATAGTCTTGTCTATAGATCACTTTACAGTCTTGAATATATTGACTAGAGTTCAGTGTATAATCTTGAACGGTGATAGATCAGTCTATAGTCTCGACTATAGATCATTCTATAGTTTTAATTATATATCAGTCCATAGTCCTGACTAGAGATCAGTCTCTAGCGTTGATCAATCTATAGTCTTGACTATAGATCCACCTATAGTCCTCTATATAAGTCTGTCAATAATATCGAATATACATATGTAGATAAATCTACAGTCTTAAATAGAGATCAGTCTATAATCTTGACTAGAGATCAATCTTTAGACTTGAATTTAGTCTAGTCTATAATATTTACTTTAGATCAGTTTATAGTCTAGTCTGTAGATAAGTCTATAGACTTGCTATAGGCCAGTCAATATTCTAAAATCACAAAAGGAATAATAGCATTTTACTTACAGTGCTGAAGATTGCTATAGAGGGCGTGCATAATTACAAAAAAAAAAAGTCAAGACCCATCAAAGTAAAAAGAATTTATGAGAAAATAACTTTCCAAGAACCAATTAGGGGACCAGTTTTGTATCAATTTCAAAACCAAACGCTTTCTTTGTGTTAAAGCAATAAAAACAATACAATATTAGCATTTTAAAAATGTTGCTAATTAGAGACTTTAAATGAGATAAAAAAAAAGAACTAGTGATATATATCGGGTCATAATATATTAACTTCTTCTATAATATTTCCAAAAAATTGTGCAAACTAAAAGTGCTTAAGAATGATGACAATAAAACACTTTAAATACCTAAAAAACCAACACCAACATTTATATAGAACAAAGAATAGCCCCAGACCTACAGAAACTTTTTTATAGAGGATATTATCCTCTTTATAAAAGTTCTTATTATTTTTAATTTTTTTGCTAATGGCAACAAGAAAAAATACAAACACACTTAAACACATATGACACTTTAGCACAAACACACACACACACACCCATTTATGAAGTACATTCATTCACAAAACATAAAAAGGACTTTGAACGATGGACAAAAAAATATATAAAACCTAGGAATGTAAGGACTAATATGCAACAACAGTATGGTTAAACATACATACATACATAGATAAAGACATACATACATTCATACATAATATTAAAACGAGTACAATGAAATGTTATTAGGAGGTTAATTAGTAACACATTACGAAAGATACGATTAGAGAAAAGATACTTAAAAAAAAATAACAGCAAGAGGACTAAATTTTACACCATTTCCATTTATTAGCTTACAAAAAACATCTATTAAATAAATTTAAAGGTATTATGGTCAATTTCTAGTTCAAACAGTAACCACGGAACACCATATACGTGATCGAATAGGCTTTCGTATCAAAAATATAATTCCATATGGAAATTTTAGATTTCTTGTTAGATATCGAGGCGGTAATATGGCAATAATTTATTACCTGGCGGTTTGTTTTTTTTTTTCAATTCCAATCTTTAACCTTTAAACTTTACTATAGATCAGTTAATTAATTTAATTATATATTCAGTCTTGCTATAGATTAATCTACATATAATCTTGACGGTTAATTACTCTATTGTCGTGACTATAGATCAATTTATAGTCTTGATCATTAATTAGTCTATAGTTTTGACTAAAAAACAGTCAAAAATATTTTTGACTATGAAACAGTTTATAGACAGTTTATAGCCTTATAGCTATTGAATAGTCCGTATATAGTTTTTACTATAGATCAGTCTTAAGATTTGATTATAGATCAGTATTTAATCTTGACTATTGATCAGTCGGTAGTCTTGACTCTAGATCTTAACATTCGATCAGTCTTTACTTTAGATTAATCTTTAAACTTGATCAGTATAGATCAGTAAGTAGTCCTGCTTATAATCTAAAGTATTGTCTATAGATTAGTCTACGGCCTTGATTATAGGTCAGTCTATAGTCTTGTCTATATATCAGTCTACAGCCCTGCCTATAGATTAGTTTCTAATATTGACTATAGATCAGTCTAAAGTCTTAAAAATAGATCAGTTTAGTCTTGAATATAAATCAGTCTATGGACTTGAATTTGGAATTTGGTCTATAGCTTGGACTATAGACAAGTCTTTCAGCCTTCAGTCTTTTCTATAGATCAGTGTATAGTGCTATATGTTAGTCTATAATATTGACTATAGTTTTTTATAGATCAGTCGATAGTCTTGACAATAGATAAGTCCACAGTCTTGATTATATATCAGTTTATTGTTTTGGCCATAGATCAGTTTATATTCATTGCTATATTAATGCCTATCGGCTTGTCTATAGTCTTGACTATTGATTAGTATCACTGGTCTATAATCTTGAAGTGATAAAAGTCTAGACCACAGAGCAGTAAAACCGGAATATAGTTTTTACTATAGATCAGTCTATAGCCATCACTATCGATCAGTCTATAGTCTTTACTATCGATAAGTATATAGTTTTAATTATAGATCAGATTGACGAAAATCGAGACCAGATCAGTATATAGTATTGTCTATAGATCAATCTGTAGTCTTGACTATAGATCATTCTATAGTCTTGATCATCCTATAGTCTTGACTATAGATCGGTCTTTAGTAATGAACATATAGCAGTCTTCACTAAAACATAATTCCAGAACTACCTCTTATAAATTTTTAAAAGAAATTTTTTTGAAAATATTTAGGACAGTTAGCTTGGAAATGGTGTAAATTAAAAACTATAAACTTTTGAATAATGGTAATAGTAGTTATTGTTGTTAGTTTTGTTACATAGAACACAGTTAGGAATGATAAGCTTAAGTAAATACTATATAATAGTTTAAATACAAATAAATACGAGTATTATTATCTAAAGGGACGGGACACACTATTTTTATAAATCATTTTAATGAATTTTATATAATTTTTTTTTGTTAAACATCATCAACTACTACTGCAACAACTAAATAGAATACTTTGGGTGTACTTTAGTAGTGATACTAGTATAATAATTTAGACAACCCACAACCGATGATAAAAAAAATATTAAAGACATTGTTTTTTATTAAATTATACTAGTATAGTAGTAGTAGTGGGTGGGGGAGTAGCAGAAGTAGAAGAGTTAGTTAAATTACGTACAGGCGTCGTTTCAGTCGGTTCAGTTATAATTTGAGGACGTTGTTGTTCACGGCGCAATGTTACCTAAAGCGGGAAGTAAAAAAAGAGCAACATACAATATATAAAAAAAAGTTAAAACATAAAATAAAAATTAATAGGCAAATTATAAGTTTATAATAAAACGGGAGTTTAAGATAAGAAAAAAAAAATAAAATCAGTTAAGGGGTTTTAAGGTAATCATATTTGTTCGTTTTTAGAAGTTACATTTATGATAAAATGTTAATAAAGTTAAATTTTTTTTATATACATCAATTAATATGACAAATATAACTTTGTAACCCAATTAAACGCAGCCATCTTGATTAAGTATTCTATATATAAACACCATCCCTGCTAAATGTCTGCCACCAGTTTGAAATTCTCTACAAATTAAATAATTTTACATATTTTTAGAAGAACCACTTTAAACATAGCCTCAATGGTTTCTAAGCTGTTTAAACTTTTCTTATTTATAGTAAAATTTGCTTATTAACAAATTGTGATTACCCTTAATATTAAAATGGTTGTGGGGGGATAAAAGGTTTGATTGAGTAAAAATAAAAAAAAAAAATCAAAAATTTTACTTTCAAGGTTGGTTTTGCAAAAATAAAAGCATTTAATTTTAGTAAAAAAAAGTACCATTATATTTTATAATCAATTTGAAAAAAGCACCCAGATAATGTTAGTTTTTGTGTTTATAAGTTTTTTTTTTGAGGTTAGATTTATACATACATATTTTTTAGTTTTTAATTATTTTGGGTATTAAAAGTTTTGCTTTTTTTTTAATTTATAAGAAAAAACACAATAGATTAAATCAATAATTTTTAGTATAGTTAAATAAAACCTTTATATAGTTAGTAATTCCTTTATATTTGCCGATATTGTTGTGATGTTAATCACATAGTTAAAGAGACCCTTTTTAATAGATAATTTTAGTTTTATATAATTTCGGATTCTTTAAAAAATGCTGTTTTTAGTTTTGTGTGTCCTCTTAGTGTAATAGTCAGTTTGATGAGGAATTGGAATTTCAATATTATTGTTAATAAAAAAACTTATATAAAGTAATATATTTAAGAGAAGAATAATATTACCTTTATAAATGCGCCAAATAGTACAAAAAACTATACTTTAATACGCCTACTTTACTGTTCTTAAACTTAGGACCTTTCCTTATTATGTATCTAGTAAACCTTTAAGTAAATATTTATATTATAGAATATAAACGTCGATTTTGTCTATGGTTAGTTTGGCTGATCCAGTAATTACCAAGCAGTGTTTTGGAAGAATATAGCAAAATAAAGAAGAATACATCTGTATTTTACAATCGGTCTAGCCCTTACTTCTGATCAATCTATTATCTAGAATATTCTAGTTCTGTTCTAGTTCAGTTCTAGTTCAGTTCTAGTTCAGTTCTAGTTCAGTTCTAGTTCAGTTCTAGTTCAGTTCTAGTTCAGTTCTAGTTCAGTTCTAGTTCAGTTCTAGTTCAGTTCTAGTTCAGTTCTAGTTCAGTTCTAGTTCAGTTCTAGTTCAGTTCTAGTTCAGTTCTAGTTCAGTTCTAGTTCAGTTCTAGTTCAGTTCTAGTTCAGTTCTAGTTCAGTTCTAGTTCAGTTCTAGTTCAGTTCTAGTTCAGTTCTAGTTCAGTTCTAGTTCAGTTCTAGTTCAGTTCTAGTTCAGTTCTAGTTCAGTTCTAGTTCAGTTCTAGTTCAGTTCTAGTTCAGTTCTAGTTCAGTTCTAGTTCAGTTCTAATTCAGTTCTAGTTCAGTTCTAGTTCAGTTCTAGTTCAGTTCTAGTTCAGTTCTAGTTCAGTTCTAGTTCAGTTCTAGTTCAGTTCTAGTTCAGTTCTAGTTCAGTTCTAGTTCAGTTCTAGTTCAGTTCTAGTTCAGTTCTAGTTCAGTTCTAGTTCAGTTCTTGTTCAGTTACTAGTTCAGTTCTAGTTCAGTTCTAGTTCAGTTATAGTTCAGTTCTAGTTCAGTTCTAGTTCAGTTCTAGTTCAGTTCTAGTTCAGTTCTAGTTCAGTTCTAGTTCAGTTCTAGTTCAGTTCTAGTTCAGTTCTAGTTCAGTTCTAGTTCAGTTCTAGTTCAGTTCTAGTTCAGTTCTAGTTCAGTTCTAGTTCAGTTCTAGTTCAGTTCTAGTTCAGTTCTAGTTCAGTTCTAGTTCAGTTCTAGTTCAGTTCTAGTTCAGTTCTAGTTCAGTTCTAGTTCAGTTCTAGTTCAGTTCTAGTTCAGTTCTAGTTCAGTTCTAGTTCAGTTCTAGTTCAGTTCTAGTTCAGTTCTAGTTCAGTTCTAGTTCAGTTCTAGTTCAGTTCTAGTTCAGTTCTAGTTCAGTTCTAGTTCAGTTCTAGTTCAGTTCTAGTTCAGTTCTAGTTCAGTTCTTGTTCAGTACTAGTTCAGTTCTAGTTCAGTTCTAGTTCAGTTCTAGTTCAATTCTAGTTCAGTTCTAGTTCAGTTCTAGTTCAGTTCTAGTTCAGTTCTAGTTCAGTTCTAGTTCAGTTCTAGTTCAGTTCTAGTTCAGTTCTAGTTCAGTTCTAGTTCAGTTCTAGTTCAGTTCTAGTTCAGTTCTAGTTCAGTTCTAGTTCAGTTCTAGTTCAGTTCTAGTTCAGTTCTAGTTCAGTTCTAGTTCAGTTCTAGTTCAGTTCTAGTTCAGTTCTAGTTCAGTTCTAGTTCAGTTCTAGTTCAGTTCTAGTTCAGTTCTAGTTCAGTTCTAGTTCAGTTCTAGTTCAGTTCTAGTTCAGTTCTAGTTCAGTTCTAGTTCAGTTCTAGTTCAGTTCTAGTTCAGTTCTAGTTCAGTTCTAGTTCAGTTCTAGTTCTAGGTAATTCTAAACTTAAACTCCAAAACCAACCTGTATTTGTTTATACACAAACGAAAGAATCGAAAGAATAACTTCAAAAAATACTTCATCTATAAGAATAGTTTTCATAAAAAAACTCATGAATTCAATTTTAATGCATATTTAAATTTGTACTTTAATGTGCATTTTAAGTAAAGACTTTAAATTAACATTTGAATTTTCATATAAAACATGCTTAAAGGGAATTCTCATAGTCACAATTATTAACAAACTTACTTATTTAATGCAAAAATATTTTACCAAAAATAAAACCTACTAAGAAAAATTGAAAATTAAAAAAAAAAAAAACAAAATTTTTGATTGCAAAAATCAAAAGAAGAAACCAAAAAGCTTTGAACAACTTAAAGAAAATCTTACATTCAAACGTTGGGATTTACTCCTACTACCATCCTTTTTACTACTACGTGATGTCTGTGTGATCAGCGATATTTGTCGTTGTATCTTATGGGTACTACTATTATCAACTTCATGACCAAAAGCAGTGGCTGGTTTAGCAATGATCTGTTTGTTGTTGGTTTTAAATGTGAATTTTTATTATTTTCAAGGGTATAAAAATTAAATAAAAATATGTAGGTTTAAGAGTAATTGTTATTTTTTATTTTTTTTTATTAAGTCAGTGTTTTTGAGGAAATTTAAAGGAAGCCAGCAGTTAAAGCAGCATTTAAAAAAAAAGAAAATATATAAAGAAAGAAATGTTTGTTGTTTTAGTGTTAGTTTTAGGTTTAATTGTTAAGTTTTCTATAAAAAAAAAGGATTATTGTAAAAATATTTATTTAATTCTTTTTAGTCATTTAAACCGTTTCTAAACACCAGTGTTAAAATACTTTAGTTTTAGGTCTATTCTTTTGTTGTTTATTTTTATTTAATAGAAGTGTCAAAAGGTTAGTTAATAATTAATATTTTCCCCACTTACCCTAGCCTTGATGAGATTCTTGGTGGTCAATGCTAATGCATAATAAGTAAAGAATAAAACTATGGGATTAAGGAATGAATCAGCTTTGAATTGTGTATCATAAACTATAATTCTGATATCGTTGGCACACGTTGAAGTTATAAGAGGCTCTAAACCAATTAATCTAGAAATAATATTAAAAAAAAAAAGCAATTAAATTAAACTTAAATTAAACCTTTATAAGGACAAATTTAAAAATGTTTAACTAACCTTGCCGTTAAACTTGTTTTATCTAAATGGTCTTGCATCCAAGGCGTTTGATAGGCCACAATACAAATGGTATGGGCCACAATCACCACCATTACTAAACGTAACAAAATGGCAAATTTCCTAAAAACAAAATAGTCATAAAAAACAAACAGTATTAAAAAAAATGTTAAATTTTCATTGTTTTTTACATAAATTGATTTTTTTAGGACATTTGTGTTTATCTATCTTACCTTTGCAATGTTTGGAAAGTTGCCCAATATGATCCTGATAGTAGAAATATTAAAAAATAAAAACCACCTGGTACACTTGGTCTAAGGACAGCCGAAAAGAATAATGTAGCCAAACAGAATAAGGGCGCTGTAATTTCATTAATGATATGTTTAAATTGTTGAGTTTTTTGTTTTTTCTTTCTTCAAAACTTACAGATTTTAATAAGACCATCAAAATTTGGCTTATCATTGTCTTCTTGTGGTTTACGCGCTAAATCATTATTAACCTTGACAGCTGTTAACTCACCGGCAGTTGTAGCGCTACCACTAGCTTCAAGTGTTTCTTCAATGTCGCCTGCATCAACATTGCCATTTTCAACTAAAAGCTCTACTTTTTGGGTGATTTTTTTGGTCACCAAATAGACTACCAAAGAAGTAATGAAAACCACAACTTCGGGTATTAGCCACTCGATAATAGCAAGAACTCTGAAAAATATACAAAAATTAAATAAGAACATAATGATCCAATTAAGAAAATAACAAAAATAACAAATCAAAACCCCGATTTTTATGTGAGATATCTAAAATCGGCTGTAGTTTCTTAAATAACGCTCCAATTAAGAAAATAATGAAAATCTGTGATCACTCTCATATCCCACCAAAAATCGATTTTAATATGAGAAAACTAAAAGCGGCTGTAGTTTCTTAAATAACGCTCCAATTGAGAAAATAATGAAAATCTGTGATCACTCTTATATCCCACCAAAAATCGATTTTTATATGATAAATCTAAAGTCGGTTGTATTTTCTTAAATAACGCTCCAATTGAGAAAATAATGAAAATCTGTGATCACTCTTATATCCCACCAAAAATGGATTTTTATATAAGAAATCTAAAATCGGCTGTAGTTTCTTAAATTACGCTCAAATTGAGAAAATAATGAAAATCTGTGATCACTCTTATATCCCACCAAAAATCGATTTTTATATGAGAAATCTAAAATCGGCAGTAGTTTCTTAAATATCGCTCCAATTGAGAAAATAATGAAAATCTGTGATCACTCTCATATCCCACCAAAAATCGATTTTTATATGAGAAATCTAATGAAAATCTGTGATCACTCTCATATCCCACCAAAAATCGACTTTTATATGAGAATCTAAAACCGGCTGTAGTTTCTTAAATAACACTCCAATTGAGAAAATAGTGAAAAACTGTGATCACTCTCATATCCCACCAAAAACCGATTTTTGTATGAGAAATATAAAATCGGCTGTAGTTTCTTAAATAACGCTCCAATTGAGAAAATAATGAAAATCTGTGATCACTCTCATATCCCACCAAAAATGGATTTTAATATGAGAAATCTAAAACCGGCTGTAGTTTCTTAAATAACGCTCCAATTGAGAAAATAATGAAAATCTGTGATCACTCTCATATCCCACCAAAAATCGATTTTTATATGAGAAATCTAAAATCGGCTGTAGTTTCTTAAATAACGCTCCAATTGAGAAAATAATGAAAATCTGTGATCACTCTCATATCCTACCAAAAATCGATTTTTATATGAGAAATCTAAAATCGGCTGTAGTTTCTTAAATAACGCTCCAATTGAGAAAATAATGAAAATCTGTGATCACTCTTATATCCCACCAAAAATGGATTTTTATATGAGAAATCTAAAATCGGCTGTAGTTTCTTGAATAACGCTCCAATTGAGAAAATAATGAAAATCTGTGATCACTCTTATATCCCACCAAAAATGGATTTTTATATGAGAAATCTAAAATCGGCTGTAGTTTCTTAAATAACGCTCCAATTGAGAAAATAATGAAAATCTGTGATCACTCTTATATCCCACCAAAAATCGATTTTTATATGAGAAATCTAAAATCGGCTGTAGTTTCTTAAATAACGCTCCAATTGAGAAAATAATGAAAATCTGTGATCACTCTCATATCCCACCAAAAATGGATTTTTATATGAGAAATCTAAAATCGGCTGTAGTTTCTTAAATAACGCTCCAATTGAGAAAATAATGAAAATCTGTGATCACTCTCATATCCCACCAAAAATCGATTTTTATATGAGAAATCTAAAATCGGCTGTAGTTTCTTAAATAACGCTCCAATTGAGAAAATAATGAAAATCTGTGATCACTCTTATATCCCACCAAAAATCGATTTTTATATGAGAAATCTAAAATCGGCTGTAGTTTCTTGAATAACGCTCCAATTGAGAAAATAATGAAAATCTGTGATCACTCTTATATCCCACCAAAAATGGATTTTTATATGAGAAATCTAAAATCGGCTGTAGTTTCTTAAATAACGCTCCAATTGAGAAAATAATGAAAATCTGTGATCACTCTTATATCCCACCAAAAATGGATTTTTTTATGAGAAATCTAAAATCGGCTGTAGTTTCTTAAATAACGCTCCAATTGAGAAAATAATGAAAATCTGTGATCACTCTTATATCCCACCAAAAATCGATTTTTATATGAGAAATCTAAAATCGGCTGTAGTTTCTTAAATAACGCTCCAATTGAGAAAATAATGAAAATCTGTGATCACTCTTATATCCCACCAAAAATGGATTTTTATATGAGAAATCTAAAATCGGCTGTAGTTTCTTAAATAACGCTCCAATTGAGAAAATAATGAAAATCTGTGATCACTCTTATATCCCACCAAAAATGGATTTTTATATGAGAAATCTAAAATCGGCAGTAGTTTCTTAAATAACGCAGCAATTAAGAAAATAATGAAAATCTGTGATCACTCTCATATCCCACCAAAAATATATTTTTATATGAGAAATCTAAAATCGGCTGTAGTTTCCTAAATAACGCTCCAATTGAGAAAATAATGAAAATCTGTGATCACTCTTATATCCCACCAAAAATCGATTTTTATATGAGAAATCTAAAATCGGCAGTAGTTTCTTAAATAACGCTCCAATTGAGAAAATAGTGAAAATCTGTGATCACTCTTATATCCCACCAAAAATCGATTTTTATATAAGAAATCTAAAATCGGCTGTAGTTTCTTAAATAACGCTCCAATTGAGAAAATAATGAAAATCTGTGATCACTCTCATATCCCAACAAAAATCGATTTTTATATAAGAAATCTAAAATCGGCTGTAGTTTCTTAAATAACGCTCCAATTGAGAAAATAATGAAAATCTGTGATCGCTCTTATATCCCATCAAAAATCGACTTTTATATGATAAATCTAAAAGCGGCTGTAGTTTCTTAAATAACGCTCCAATTGAGAAAATAATGAAAATCTGTGATCACTCTCATATCCCACCAAAAATCAATTTTTATATTTTTATATGATAAATCTAAAAGCGGCTGTAGTTTCTTAAATAACGCTCCAATTAAGAAAATAATGAAAATCTGTGATCACTCTCAGATCCCACCAAAAATGGATTTTTATATACGAAATCAAAAATCGGCTGTAGTTTCTTAAATAACGCTCCAATTGAGAAATTAATGAAAATCTGTGATCACTCTTATATCCCACCAAAAATCGATTTTTATATGAGAAAACTAAAATCGGTTGTAGTTTCTTAAATAACGCTCCAATTGAGAAAATAATGAAAATCTGTGATCGCTCTTATATCCCAACCAAAATCGACTTTTATATGATAAATCTAAAAGCGGCTGTAGTTTCTTAAATAACGCTCCAATTGAGAAAATAATGAAAATCTGTGATCACTCTCATATCCCAACAAAAATCGATTTTTATATAAGAAATCTAAAATCGGCTGTAGTTTCTTAAATAACGCTCCAATTGAGAAAATAATGAAAATCTGTGATCGCTCTTATATCCCATCAAAAATCGACTTTTATATGATAAATCTAAAAGCGGCTGTAGTTTCTTAAATAACGCTCCAATTGAGAAAATAATGAAAATCTGTGATCACTCTCATATCCCACCAAAAATCAATTTTTATATTTTTATATGATAAATCTAAAAGCGGCTGTAGTTTCTTAAATAACGCTCCAATTAAGAAAATAATGAAAATCTGTGATCACTCTCAGATCCCACCAAAAATGGATTTTTATATAAGAAATCTAAAATCGGCTGTAGTTTCTTAAATAACGCTCCAATTGAGAAAATAATGAAAATCTGTGATCACTCTCATATCCCACCAAAAATCGATTTTTATATTTTTATATGATAAATCTAAAATCGGCTGTAGTTTCTTAAATAACGCTCCAATTGATAAAATAATGAAAATCTGTGATCACTCTCAGATCCCACCAAAAATGGATTTTTATATAAGAAATCTAAAATCGGCTGTAGTTTCTTAAATAACGCTCCAATTGAGAAATTAATGAAAATCTGAGATCACTCTCATATCCCACCAAAAATGGAATTTTATATGATAAATCTAAAATCGGCTGTAGTTTCTTAAATAACGCTTCAATTGAGAAATTAATGAAAATCTGTGATCACTCTCATATCCCACCAAAAATGGATTTTTATATGAGAAATCTAAATTGGCTGTAGTTTCTTAAATAACGCTCCAATTGAGAAAATAATGAAAATCTGTGATCACTCTCATATCCCACCAAAAATCGATTTTTTTATGAGAAATCTAAAATCGGCTGTAGTTTCTTAAATAACGCTCCAATTGAGAAAATAGTGAAAATCTGTGATCACTCTCATATCCCACCAAAAATGGATTTTTATATAAGAAATCTAAAATCGGCTGTAGTTTCTTAAATAACGCTTCAATTGAGAAATTAATGAAAATCTGTGATCACTCCCATATCCCAACAAAAATCGATTTTTATATGAGAAATCTAAAATCGGCTGTAGTTTCTTAAATAACGCTCCAATTGAGAAAATAATGAAAATCTGTGATCACTCTCATATCCCACCAAAAATCGATTTTTATATGAGAAATCTAAATTGGCTGTAGTTTCTTAAATAACGCTCCAATTAAGAAATTAATGAAAATCTGTGATCACTCTCATATCCCACCAAAAATGGATTTTTATATGAGAAATCTAAAATCGGCTGTAGTTTCTTAAATAACGCTCCAATTGAGAAAATAATGAAAATCTGTGATCACACTCATATCCCACCAAAAATGGAATTTTATATGAGAAATCTAAAATCGGCTGTAGTTTCTTAAATAACGCTCCAATTGAGAAAATAATGAAAATCTGTGATCACTCTCATATCCCACCAAAAATCGATTTTTATATGATAAATCTAAAAGCGGCTGTAGTTTCTTAAATAACGCTCCAATTGAGAAAATAATGAAAATCTGTGATCACACTCATATCCCACCAAAAATCGATTTTTATATGAGAAATCTAAAATCGGCTGTAGTTTCTTAAATAACACTCCAATTGAGAAAATAATGAAAATCTGTGATCACTCTCATATCCCACCAAAAATCGATTTTTTTATGATAAATCTAAAACCGGCTGTAGTTTCTTAAATAACGCTCCAATTGA